CCTACACGTTGGTGTCGAAAATTGACCAAAAAATCGACCTGTATGTGTCGAAAATTGCCGGCGGGTTCAAAAAAAAAAAACTTCAAAATCGACTTCGAAGCTCAAAAAAGACTTCGATACTTACCTTAATGTATTCTCCTTTCATATATATTACCATATTATTGTCTTATAACTCAATTTTATAAGTTTTGTGAGGTTTTAATTTCTTTAGTTTTGAGATTTTTTAGAAGGGTTTGTTGTGAGGAAGATTTTTTAGAAGGGTTTCTGGGGAGGGCGACGAACGAGATGGCCGAGGTGAGGGGTTTGTGAGTGCGGACCGCCCTAATTTCTCCGAGTTTTCGATTATTTGGTATTTAAGAAAGAAAAATAGTATTTGTAATATTTTTTTGGTTTTAATTTCATTAAGGGTATTAAAGTAATTTACAATTAATTATTTATTTTTTATTTTTTTGGTATTCAAGTAAGCAAAAGTTGGGATTTAAAGTAGTGATCCCCTATATTTAATTATTTTTTGCACTATATATATATAATAATTAACAAAAAAAAAAGGGTTAATATTGAAGACACCCCTCAAACCAAACATAATTAGATGTGGGGCACAACCTCAAATAGAATGTTTTTACTAAATCCTTATTTGAAAATTTAATTTGACCCACGTCCTTTTATTTTTATTTAACCCTAAAATACCCTTGACATACCTAATAAAAAACCACGTTTCTCTATTTTTTCTCCCCACTCTCTTTTTATCCGCCGCCTACCCTGGCTCGCTCTCTTCTTCAACCGCCCCACACCTTTCTCTTTCTTTTCTCTCTTTCTGTAGTGGTCCTCTCTTTCACATCGAGAGGATATGTTAGATCTGGGATTGACGGCGACGGCGTCGAGTTTTGCTGTCGAGAATGATAGGCGGCAGGAGGATGAGGCGGCGAGTGGCGAAGAGGATGACGGGTTAGAGACTTATATTTTCTATTCTTTATCAATCCGTGTTCTGTGTTTTCTCTGTATGTTCTGTTATGTATACTATTTTGCATGTTCAATATTTATATTAACAATAAAAAATTCTTACCTGTTTTCATTCTCAATATTTTTTTAGCACTGAGATTTTAGTCTTCTTGTTTGATTAATATTAATATTAAATGGAATATTCATATTCAGCAGGAAAAAGAAAGAAAAAATATAATGTTGCCGGATGACGAGAGGCGCAAAATCCAGTACACAATAGAGTACGCGTTATTTGCTATAGTGTACAACACTCTGGAGCCGGATCCTCCAGGACAGTCGGTGTTCGAAATAATACAGAATTGTGGAGGTGAGTACAAGAGCATACCAATACTGGTGCCACACGATTGGAAGCCTTGCCTTAAAGCGGCCCAACGGATGGTGGAGCAGCCGTGTTGTCGTCAATTGAAAGAACATGTTTTGCAGCCGCACCGTACGTGTTGTACAGGATAACTTGAGCGCAAGGGCCAATTATATCCGCTACCTAGGGAGAGCTAACCGCTACCTCTTCAAGGCTCGCCTTTACATGAATGACGCTTGCGTTGAAGAAGATAGGGCTGGAGAGAAGAAACAAACTGAGGCTATGGAAGCAAAATTAAGGACAACTGATGAAGAAGATAGGGCTTGGCTGCTAGGATTTCGTTGCGGCTGCGTTTACTGCTGGCCGACTGAGAGTTATTCGCGGCTAGGGTTTGGAATAGTATACCGTAGTAAATCATAGTATACCATAGTACACCGTAGTACACCATAGTACACCGTAGTACACCATATTATACCATAGTCTACCACAGATTGTTGTAGTGTATATATATGAACAGACAAAGAATGTGTCAAAGTGAAGTTCATGTTTCAGAAGCCTATAAACGACGATAATGACTACGGTAAAGGTAACTATAGATGTACCGATAGAAGATAAACTAAAAATTAAAAAAAAAAAAAGAAAAACGTGAAATTGAATTATAAAAAAAATAAAAAATAATTTTTTTTTTTTAATTTTCAATATTATGTATAAAAAAAAGAAAAAAACAACGAAGTTTGTTTATAATAGTCTATAAAATGCTAAAATAAAGAATGAAAGAGAAAAAAAGACCATTGGGTATTTCGTAAAAAAAATTAAAAAAACGTCAGACGAAAAATAAAAATATTAAATGTAGAATAAAAAAAATAATTAAGGCAGTTTAATTACTTAATAAAAAAATTAAATTTGTTAGTGGAGGGGCATTTTGGGAATGAATTTTATAAAGGATGTGAAACAAATGTTTAGTTGAGCTTGTCATTTAGTTCTAATAAGTTTTGTCACTAGGGACCTATATCTCAAGGCCCCAAAAAAAAATTAATAGATCAAGCATGAAGCAAAAAACATTTCTCTGCACAACTCTCTCTCTCATCGTCTTCCTCACACAGCACTTTCTCTCTCACGCAGTACGGTGCCACCCAGAGGACAAAAAAGTGCTCCTCCAAATCAAACAATCCTTCAACAACCCCTACCACCTCGCCTCGTGGGATCCCGCCACCGACTGCTGCTACTGGTACGTGGTGGAGTGCGACCGGAAAACCAACCGGATCAACGAGCTCCACCTCTTCGCCGCCAACGTCTCCGGCCATATCCCTGCCGCCATCGCCGGACTCACCTACCTCGAAACCCTAACCCTCCACAAAATCACCGACCTCACCGGCGCGATTCCTCCGGCGCTCACCAAACTCACTAATCTGAAAAGGCTGACCATCAGCTGGACCAACATCTCCGGCGAGATCCCGCCGTTCCTCAGCCAGCTCAAAAACCTAACGTTTCTCGATCTGTCGTTCAACAACCTCAGCGGCGGAATACCTCCGTCTCTGTCGCAGCTCCGGAGCCTCTACGGGCTGAGATTGGACCGGAACAAACTCACGGGTCCCATACCCGATTCGTTTGGGGATTTGAGCCCGAGTTTGCAGTACCTGCACCTGTCGCACAACCAGATCTCGGGTCGGGTCCCCACCAATTGGGGCGGGTTGAACTTCACTTGGATCGAGCTGCAGCGGAATCGGATCGAAGGAGATGTATCGGTGTTGTTTGGGAAGAATAAAACCGTACAGGTTGTCGATTTCTCTAGGAATTTGTTGGATTTCGATATTTCGGAGGCTGTGATTGGATTTCCGGAGAGTTTGAGGGTTTTGGATTTGAGCCATAATAGGATAACGGGAAGTTTGCCGGAGGGGTTAACGGAGTTGGAGAATCTGTATATGAATGTGAGCTATAACAGACTGTGTGGACGGATTCCGTTCGGCGGGAGGCTGCAGTTACTGGATTTCACTTCCTATCTTCATAATCGATGCTTGTGTGGTGCACCCTTGCCTAATGATTGCAAATGATTTTTTTTTTTCGGATAAATTACGGCCTCCGAGATAATGTCAAATTACAAAAAATCACTCATGTTTTGGTAATTACAATCATCCTTAATATGAATCGTCTTACAAGTCCATTATCGCGACGTCAAATTTAGTGGAATCTTTTATATTATGTGAAATATTTTCCAGTTTGTACTCATTTTACCTCATTCGAGCTCCGCATTTTGCAACAAGATAATCGTAAGATGCATCTATTGGTTTATAAATACCAAATTGTGGTGTATCAAAAACTGTGGCTATGTTTGTTACCGTTTTCAAATTCTTTCCACACTTTCCCCAAAATGAAAATTATCTTTCTACACTATTTTCAAAATCTTTCCCCAAAACAAATTCAAATATTTCTCTCTCTAACAAACATGATTTGACCGCTACAGTGAAAATTGTCTTCACTAAAATACAAAATCAAATCACTTTATCTTTTAAATTCTTCTTCCAAAATACCTTTTTCCAACACCTTCCAGACATGATTTGACTTGCTACAGTACAAATTGTCTCCTCCCAAAACACAAACAAACTTTATTTAATTTTCAAATTCTTCTCCCAAAACATCTTTCCCCAAAATAAAATGGAAATGGAAGCCCAAAAGCTTACCAAACACAGCCTGTATTTTTGCACTAAACGAGTACAAATTAGAGAACATTTTACATAATTTAAAAGATTCTGTTGAATTTAACAACAGAATAAATATGTAAGAAGATGCATACTTAAAGGGTCGTTTTAATTACCAAAACACGAGGGATCTTTTCGTAATTTGACAGAACATAAACTTTAAGATTGTACTTTTGCAATTGAAGCAGTTCATACATGTTGCAAGAAATCATTTTTCTGCTCCCCGAAGAAAGCACAGCGCAATATGCGGCAAATTCAGAAATGCAAAACCTCAAAACCCTTGTCTTCATTATTCAGAACTCCACCCCCAAATCAAATCTCAGATCCGACAACCGCCATTGACAATGCCTCAAACAAGAACAACAAGAAACCATCACCCCTTTCTTCTCTGTTCAGAAACCCACGTCGAAATCCAGCTCCACGCTCGAAATCCACCACCGGAAAAATCAACACCTCCTCAAACTCAAATAACAGTGCCCCCAATTATCAAAAAATATTCGAGCAGTACGTGATGAAACACTGCGTGCACGGAAAAAACACCCTCTCCGATGCCAGATCCGTTTTCAGTGAGCTGATCCGTATGGAACCCTTACCCCCAAATTTTATGTTCAATTATATATTAGGTTTCGTTTCCAAAAATGGTTGGTTCGCCGACGTGTTTCTTCTTTACCGCAAGATGTCTGTTCTTGGAATTCCACCCAACTTGTTCACTCTGAATGTGGTGATGCATTGTTGCGCATGTTTGAAAGAAGCGAGATCTGGGTGGTGTTTGCTTGGTCAGATGATTAAGAGAGGCTTGGGTATAAACGATGCTACTGTTCAATTCTTGGTCAAGGGTTTGTGTTCCTGTGGTGAAGCTATGGTTGCCCTCCAAGCGTTCGATAAAATGTCTCAACAAGAGGGCGTCGAAGTAAAAGATCTCAGATACGGTATTCTGATCGTAGAGCTTTGCAGAGCCGGGAAAGTGGATCTTGCAATCGAGTTGCTTCACAGGATGGTCGAGAAAGGCTGTTATTCGAGCCTGCTGATGTACAACAAGATTATGTACACGCTTTGCTGTGAAGGGCGGGCAGGGGAGGCCGTAATCTTTTTCGAGAAAATGTTGGAGAAGGGGATTTCACCCCACGCCGTTCCTTACTGCTCTTTAATTGTAGGGTTTTGTAAGTTGGGTGAGTTTACTGAAGTGGTGAGGTACTTTGATCAAATGGTTAGACTTGGAATATCTCCGAACGAGTACAATTACAGCTCCTTAATTCAAGGATTCTGTCAGTTCAATTTGTTGGAGGGAGCTGTAAAGGCATTGATTTACATGAAACAAACGGGAGTTATTTCTCCTGGTGTTGTGGCGTTCGGCATATTGGTCGATCATTTATGCAAACAGGGGAAAGAGGGCGAAACCCGCGAGTTGGCTAATCAAATGATTGAATACGGCACCGAATGTGGCGTAGCTACATATAACTCTCTCATTTATGGATTGTGCTTATCGGATTCTTGCTTGGACGATGCTAAAGATCTGTTCAAGCCAACGGAAGATAGATGTACTATTGACAAGGGATCGACTATATCGGCTATCGACAATGCTACTGCGATGTTTTCTCAAATACTCGGCGAAGATTTGAAGCCAACAAATGCTACTTGCAGAGCACTAATCGGAGGACTTTTCGACGCTAAGAAGATTAGAGCTGCAACGAGATTCTTCAACGAGATGCAGCTTTCGAGCCCATCTCCGAGTCCAGATTCGGGTTTTTACAAAGTTATGATCAACGGTTTCTGTAAAAACGGGCTTATTGAAGAGGCGTTGAAACTTTATTCTAATTTTGAGAGAGAGGGATTTGAGCCAAGTATCGAACTTTCGAGTATTCTTGTGAATGGATTATGTAGTGCTGGTAGATTGGAGGAAGCTACTAAGATGTTCGATGAAATGCCCGATAAGAGCTTGGTGCCTGATTTAGTAGTTTATAATTTAAAGATCAATGGTCTATGCAAGAAAGGGAAACTCAGTGAGGCTAATGATTTGCTTCTAGAGATGGAAGAAAAGGGTTCTTCTCCGGATTCGGTCTCGTTCAGCACAATCATTCTGAGTTTTTTGGAGCGAAACGACACGGATAACGCAATAAGGCTTTTGGAAGATATGCGGAGCAGAAATTTAAAGCCGAACGAAACGGTTGCTTCGTTGATCAAAGATGGGAAATTTAAGTCGGCCCTAGAGTTGATGAAGAACTGACGAAAATGGTTCGTGTGATTGTTTCGAGATTCCGATCTCATCTGAAACGAAAAGCAATTGAATGATCTCAGTTTCGTCTGTCGAAAGAGTTTGGATTACTGGCTTTTGATAACATGTGTTTTCACACACACGGAAATAGATGCAAAATTGATGTACTTTCTTCATTGTAAAAAGAAATTATGTGTATTACCAATTTTACCCTTTGCCCTTGATTAATATTAAGCGTAACTTACAACCACCACTGAGGTAGGGTCAAATTACGAAAAAACCCCTCTTGTTTGGATAATTATATTCTACCTCTCAATCATGAATCTTCTTAGACCTCTATACTTCTCAAATTCAATATAATCATCTAGATTTTGTAGAATGTGCTCTAGTTTGTACTCGTTTTGTGTAAAAATACAGTTTCTGATGCACCACAACTTGATATATACAAGCTAAAAAACAGATCTTATGATCATCTTGCTTCAAAATATGGAGCTCGAATGGGATAAAACGGGTATAAAAGTGATAATATTCCCTATAATCAAGAAAATTTCACTAAATTTGAAACCGCAAGGGTGGACGTGTAAGAAAATTTATAATTAAGGAGGTTTTTATAATTACATAAACAAGAGTGGTTTTTCGTAAATTTTATCATATACTTCAAGGGTGGTTGTAATTTACCCAAATATTAATGCAAACATAAAATATCATTTCACCAAAACCCCAATATGGGAAAACACAAGTGCATAAACCCAAAGCCCCTGTCTTGTTTATTCACAGTTCCACCCTCAAATCCAATCTCCATATTCATTGACAACAATGCCTCGAATCGGAGTAAGAACCCTAACCCCCTTTCTTCTTCACTCAAAACCCTACATCAAAATCCAAATTCACATCCCAAATTCACCAAAATTTGAGATTCAAGAAAAGTTCCTCCATTACGTGAAAAGACAGTGTAAATTCGGAAAATTCAACCTCTCCGAGGCTAGATTTTTCTTCGATAAGTTAATTCATACGGAGCCCATACCTCCAACCGACACTTTCAATCATATACTGGGTTCCATTTCGAAGAATGGATGTTTTACCGACGTGTTTTTGCTTTATCATAAAATGGCGGTTCTTCAAATTTCACCCGACTTGTATACTCTGAATATTTTGATGAACTGTTGCTCGCGCTTGACTGAAATGAGATACGGGTGGTGTGTGTTTGGTGAAATTATCAAGAGGGGTTTTGAGATAGACTCCGTTACTTTCGGTATTCTGATTCAGGGTTTGTGTTATGGGGGTGAAGCCCTGCTTGCACTCCAAGTGTTTGATAAAATGTCTGAACAGGCTGCCCAAGCTAGAGATTTCACTTATGGGATCTTGATAAACGGGCTTTGCAAAGCCCAAAAAGTAAGTCTTGCTATTCAGCTCCTAAATAAAAAGCTCGAACCAAATGTGCAAATGCACAGCATGATTATAGACGCGCTCTGCAAAGAAGAAAGAATCGTCGAGGCCGTAAATTTTTACGAAGAAATGGTGGGGAAGTGTATTTCACCAGATGCTTATACTTACTGCTCTTTGATTAACGGGTTTTGCAGGCTGGGGAAATTCGTAGATGCAGTGACCTACTTCGATCGAATGATTAGTGAAGGAATATCACCGGACGAATACAATTACAATTCTTTAATTCATGGGTTTTGTCGGTTCAATTTATTCGAGGGAGCTATAAAGGTCTTCAATCACATGAAACAACGCAAGGGTATTTTTTCGCCCGGCGTTGTAACATTTACAATAATGATAGATCATTTATGCAAACAGGGCAAGATTGTCGAAGCCCGTGAGTTCTTTAATCAAATGATCGAAAATGGCAAAGAACCTGGAATAGTGACATATAATACGCTGATTTACGGATTGTGTTTAGCTGATTGCATGGATGAAGCTGAAGAACTATTTCAATCGATTGAAATTAGAGGTATTAAGCACGATGTTATTACATATAGTACACTTATTCACGGGTATTGCAAGAGACAGGGTGTGGACAATGCCTTAGAATTATTTACGAAAATGGTCGAGGAAGGATTGAAGCCGACAAATGCTACTTACAGTGCAATAATCGGAGGACTTTTTCAGGCGGGCAGGGTTAAAACTGCAAAGAAATTCTTCGAAGAAATGGAGATTAATGGGCTATCTCCAGATGGAGGTGTTTATGCAGCTCTTCTTGATGGTTTATGCAAAAACGGGCTTGTCGAAGAGGCGTTGGAATTTTATGAAAAAGCCGAGAGAAATGGAATTAAGGCGAGTGTTGAACTTTACAGTATTCTTGTGGATGGATTGTGTAGGGTTGGTAGAGTGGAGGAAGCTACGAAGATGTTTCGTGAAATTCGTGACAAGGGTTTGGTTCTTGATGTTGTGGCTTATAATGTAATGATCAACGGTCTTTGTAAGAACGGGAAGAGTCGGGAGGCGGATGAGTTGCTTGTTGAAATGGAAGAGAAGGGTTGTTTTCCGGATTCAATCTCGTTCAATACGGTTATTTGGTGTTTTTTGAAGAAAGATGATACGGGAAATGCAATTAGGGTTTTGAAAGATATGCGCGCTAGAAATTTAAAACCGAATGAAGCGGTTGTTACGATGATTCTCCACCGTGTGGTGGAAGATGAAGATTTTAGATCGGCGCTGGATTCGCTTCCTAGTACTTGGTCGAAGGATTTTGAATCGCTGTAAGAATTACAGGTCTGAGACAGTATCAGTTAGGAGTGAAAATTGGAACAAAAATTCTGAATCCAGACGATTCTGATTGGAAAATTTGCGATTTTGGAACAAAATTTTCCATTCCGAATTTTGAAAGTTCCGGCTTTCGATTTTCCTATTTTTTTGGAACGGAATTGGAATACGTATTATATTCCGATTTACAGATCCAATTTCAGTTTACAAAATTATTTTTGAAAATTTCGACTTTTTGTCCAAAAATTACACTGCAATTTGTATTATAAGTTAACAGAAAAGTGGAATTTTTCGAATTCCGGTTTCGAAAATTTCCGATATTGGAACACGTTTTTTTTGTTCCATTTTTCGAAATCACAATTTCCGATTTTTCCATGTATTTTGCTCCAAAATTTGAATTGGTTTATTACTTCCCGAAAAAAACTGAAAAATCTTCCAAAAATGCTAATTCCAATTCGATCGTTCTGATTTCCACGGAATTAGTATTAGTTTTTTGACTTCTGAAAAAAAATGAATACTATAAATGTTAAATCCGATCCGATCCATCGATCCTCAATAAAGCGTTGCTATGTCGAAGTTGTCTTCGGGGAAAAAAAAAAAAAAAAAAAAGAAGGGAATCGTGACAAAAAAAATCAAATATGAATAATAACATAAATAAAATGTGATGATAAATTCTTTTTATCATTAATATTTTATATTCCATTTTGAAAATTAAATCTTTTAATTATGTTAATCACAAGAGATTCCCATTCTTGTTTGCAGTAGATGACAACGTGACAGTGGAGAAGTGACACAGCTCCCACACATTTCCTCCATTTTTAAAACCTTCAAAACACCATTTCTGAATCCAAAAATAAATTAAAAAATGGCTTCAAAAATCTCCGCCGTGATTCTCTCTCTCTCCTTCTTCTCTAGTTTCGTTGCAATCTCTTCTCAGAACGATGAATATGACCCGACTATCAAAACCATGGAGCAGTTTTCGGGTTACCAAATTCACGATTCAATTTCTTCACTATCAGTCCACACTCAAAATCTGCAGCGACAGGTATTAAAAAAAAAACCTTTTGCAATTATTTTTTTTAATTCAATTTTTTTTGAATTTCTGCAACTGAGAAAGTTTACTCTCAGTGGTGTATTTTTGCTTCATAATCAACGATTAATGTTTGGTTGAAGTTGAACTGATTGGTATTTAAGAATCATTGATTATGAATATCCTATATTGAAGGGATAATAAATTATTGTAGGTTTTCATTATTACTTGGTTTAATAGCAAATTCAGTAGAAATTGCCCTTTTAATCCTTGTAATTTTCAATGTCAAGTTACATCCCCACCTTTAGCATTTTTTTTCGAGCATTAACCAGACAGTTATTTCGAAAAATATTGAAATGGCAAATACCCCAAGATATGAGTTTACTCGGGGTTGTTTCGATTTTAATGGTATTGTTAACATTTTTTTTATATATGTATTCAAGATTGATGAGCTGTCGTCATTCTCGGATACGCCGGCACCTTCTGTTACAAGGGTTCTTTACAGCGAAAAGGATGTATTGGCAAGAGGGTTAGTAATTTATCTGCTGAGTTTTACTTTTAATGTATTTTACATGTTATATCATCTTAATTTAATTAAGACTTCATCTTGCAATCGAATCCCTAAAATGTTCGTCACGTTGACATTCAGGTACATAAAAAAATTAATGGGTCTTTCTGGTCTCTCTGTCCGTGAGGATGCCGTCGGAAACATTTTCGGTAGATGGTAAGTTAACTTAACTACGCCCTCATTTTTTTTTAAGTTTACACCGTTATGTATTTAATTTCTTTGTTATAGAATTAACAAATCTTGATTCGCTTGTCTCACATTGAATAATTACGACTCTGATTAATCTTTATATACAGGGTTGGCTCACAGCCTGAGCTAGCTCCTGTTTTGACAGGCTCGCATATAGATGCAATACCGTATTCTGGTAAATATGATGGAGTAGTCGGTGTTTTGGGTGCTATCGAAGCCATTAATGTACTAAAACGGTATGCAGGTCGATTAATTCTTATTGTGAATCTCTTAAAAAAATCTTAAATATAGATTCTTTTTTTACTAGGAACATTGTAATTTATAATAACAGGACATCTGCTTGATTTTTTTAATATTTCTTTTTTTACAGATCGGGGTTTAAGCCGAAAAGATCTCTTGAGGTGATTATGTTTACATCGGAAGAGCCTACACGATTTGGAATTAGCTGCTTGGGAAGGTTATGACCTCATTTATGTTATTTGTTGCCAATATTTTATCCTTAAGGCCTCGTTTGGTTGGGGAGATTAGCCATGATTAATTAAATAATTGGAATCTATTTAATGTTTGGTAAAAACAATAATTTTCTGGGTCGACTTGGAAATATTATTTTACCATAGCTTATCTTGCCTTTTACGGAGATTATTTATTCGAACTCCCATGGTCTAATAATACAGTATCCTAGGAACCAAACGAGACCTAAACATACTAGTAACCTTGTATATGTATATAGCTTCAAGTTTCTGAAATTCGTCTAAACTTTTATAGCCGTTTATTAGCCGGAAGTGAAGAACTAAAAGAGCTTCTTAAGAAAACGGTGGATAGTCAAAATATATCATTTTCGGATGCTGCTACATTTGCTGGATACACATTAAACGAGGATTTATCGAGTGTGTTTCTTGAAAAAGGAAGCTACTCTGCTTTCATTGAATTGCATATAGAGCAAGGCCCCATCTTGGAAGAAGAAGGTTGTCTAGCTTACATAAAATATTAATATCGATCATTCATCGAAATAAATATATGACAAAAAAATAAAGTTTATTGTTTCCCGTAATTTTCTGTAGGGATATCGATCGGTATTGTTACTGCCATTGCTGCTCCAGCTAGCATCAAAGTTGACTTTGAAGGCAATGGAGGCCATGCTGGAGCTGTTCTCATGCCAAAGAGGTAAATTAATTAATTTTATTTATTTAAGATTATTATTTTTTTTGAAACGTCATTTAATGATTAATAAATAAAACAGAAACGATGCTGGCCTAGCTGCTGCAGAATTAGCTCTTGCTGTTGAAAAACACGTATTAGAATCTGGATCAATCGACACTGTTGGAACAGTCGGTGAGTTGCAAATTTTCATACTCTGTTTTACTTTAATATATATTTTTATTTATTTTTTAATATTTAATACTCCCTGAAAATTGTTTTCTGTAATTTTGAAGGTATTCTGGAGCTGCATCCAGGAGCAATAAACAGCATACCAAGCAAATCACATCTTGAGATAGGTACGACAATTTTATTATTTTTCGACTTATATTACTTTTTTTTTTATTTACCAATCAATTAACCTTTTTTTTTTCTAAAAAAAAATAGAAAAACTGATATTTTGACTGTTTATCTATCTTGTTGTAGATACACGTGACATAGACGAAAAGAGGAGAAATCTTGTAATCGAAAAAATCCATAAATCTGCTCTTAGAATATCGAAATCTCGAGAAGTGAATCTCTCGGAATTTAAAATTGTAAACCAAGATCCACCTGCACTATCCGAAGACTCGATTATCGAGGCAACTGAATCAGCTTGCCAAGAACTAAAGTTGTCTTACAAGAAGATGATTAGCAGAGCCTATCATGATTCCCTCTTTATGGCCAGGTAATTTATTATTAACCGATAATTCTATTTTTTCGTTCTTTTTTTTTTTGGAACAAAACTTATATGCCGAATTTGATTGTAAAAACTATGCAGAATATCTCCAATGGGCATGATTTTCATTCCATGTTACAAAGGTACTATATATGTATATATAATAATATATATCAGTTTCTCTATTGTATATTTTCTGTTAAATCGGAAATGATTCGAAATTGATTTTTTTTTTCTTCCGGAGCAGGATATAGTCATAAGCCCGAAGAATTCGCAGCACCGGAGGATGTTGCAAATGGTGTAAAAGTATTGGCACTAACACTTGGCAAACTTTCTCTTTCCTAATTGTTAAGGATATTTGTCTGAAATATGTGTATGTAAATTGCAATAAATGTACTTAATTAACATATTATCCTTTTTATTCACTACCTGCAAAATTATTCACATCAGAGAACAAAGAACCGCCACTGATTTTTCAGGTTAAATTACAAAAAAACCCCTCATTCTTGGATAATTGCAACCATACCCTTCAATTATGTATTATTTTACACATCCATCCATACAGTGTCAAATTTGCTATTGAATGATGGGTTTTTCGTGAGACAATAAATAATTGAGAAGTGGTTGTAGTTACTAAAAAATGATGAGTTTGTTTTTCGTAATTTGACCTTACATCAAGGGGTGACTGTAATTTATCAAAAAATTTAAATCGTTATAGATAATTCCGAATTTCAATTTTTATTACAAACCTGAATTAATTTGAATTTTGACAAACCAACAAGCTACTAGCTCATTAAAGATTTAACAAAAGAAAGAAAGCATGTTGGCCTTCATGTTTTTGCCTCTTCGATTAATTTTCATCTAAATTTTATATGATGGGGCCTATGATACTTCACTTAGGGTTCAAGATTCCATTGCTTTAATTTTTATTTATGTGCCATTCCATCTTTTTGTTCCACACACACACACACACACACACACATATATATATATATATATATATATATATATATATATATATATATAGTTTTATCCTACCTTTAACCACACTAACTATATAGAATAACTTGGTTATGGGGTTGGTAAGAAATGATTTCATAGGTTGGAAGAGAATAAACATAACAATTAGTTTGAATTTGTGACAATGATTTTTTGAGGTTTCGGATAGACCTAAAACACATGGATTATTATATTCCAATTTCATTCTTTTGTAGATTAATTAATATATATTGACTTAGAATATGAATACAAACATGCTCAATTTTAGTTAAAAAAAAATATTATAATAGCAACCTCAAATACTTTTGTTTTATTTGAGGTGGGCATTTTTGTACATAAGTGGTTCAACTTTAGCTCTTCTTTCACTTTCATACCAATAAATTTGTGAATGGATTAAGGTTGATGTGTTAGTTGCATGAGAATATGATGTATTGGACTTGGAGAAAAAAAATCTAAAAAATATTGATTGTGTAATTGAATAATAGCCCACTAAAACTTCATGAAAAATATTTGTTTTAAAGAGTAATAGAGTGGATTGAATCGAATTTGAAATCGAAAACCTAATCCTCGATCGGGACTCGTTTATATTACTAACATTGTTCAAAATAGAGTGGATGTTCCTAACAAAACGCGATCTTAATTCATACATGCTCGCTGGTCTTACCCTCAAATTTAATATAACTGTTCTACCAGTTGAGTTGTGCGTTAGAGATGATCAATTTTTTCTGCTAATAAGGAACATAGTGGTCTAGATTAAATAAACAATTGGTGGATTAAACATAATTAAGCAAACATAAGTAGTATAAATAATAATAATTATTATTATTATTAAAAAAAAAAAAGTGAAGCCCAAGATAGAATTAAGAAGATGGTATAAGGGCTTTATCAAAAGGGTTAGCAAATAGTAATCAAAAGATGGGTCCTACCATAATCAATTATTGTGTCCTTAATTACGATTTTGTCCGAGTGTTAAGACTTAAACATCGTTTTGACAATCTAACCCCTCCCTAGTTACACTGTCAAATTTTCATTAGCTGTATATTAATTATTTTGTCACAACATTCTAGAAAGAGAATAATAAACGAAATAGCTAATTTATAAATAAAAAATAATAATTTAAATATAAAGTTTGGACCACCAAATCAAAATTTTAAATTCATCAAAATAAAAAAGAAACAAAAAAAAAAAATCATATACAAAAAATTCAAAAACTTTTACCTCCAAACGCAGACCCAAATTAGTAATTTCCTCATTACTTTAATCTCAAAAAATTCGTTTCCACTCCATTTCAAAATTCTCAACCACCGTCAACTAACGCCGTTATCTTATTCCATCCCCCTTCTTCTATAACTCTCTGCAACACAAGACAAACACCGCCCACTGTCACACATAAATTCACACACAGCGAATTCAAAGGAAGCCGAAAATTCAGAATTCTTATTTTATCCGTAAGAAATTTTCCCTACATTTTCGGCTTTTTTTATCTTCTCTGAATATGTATGCTCATGTATATATGTGATTACATTAAACTGTAGCTCGATGAATTATTTTTCCTGATTTATGAGTTTTATGGTGACGGATCTAATCGCCGTAAGAAGGTTTGGGAGCTGCCTTTTGCTTTTTTCCGGTGGAATTTTAACTGGATTTACTGAATTTGAAGTTGATTAACGTAGTTCTATAATAGGATTATTTGTTGGTATTTTTATGTCATCTTCTGATTTTTTTTTTTCAGCAATTCGTTTTCAGCATATAAATACAGTCACGCTATGTAATTGACATGTTAGCAGCACTCTGCTAAAAAAAAAAAAACATTTTCTTCTGAAGATTGTAGAATTTTGGCATAATGGAATCTCTTGTTTGGTTAATCTGCTGTAGATTTCGAGAGAGAGAGAGAGAGAGAGAGAGAGAGAGAGAGAGATTTTCTATCCTAACAATTCAGATATTCTTTTTACTCGGATGAAGGTCTTTCGTATTTGTATTGCCATCTTAATTTGCTGAAGTCTTTCATGGTGCATAATTCATAACGAAATGTTTTATGTACTGGTGTCTTGGTTTTGCACTATATTACGATTATCCCGATGTCGTTTACGTTTTACGCTACGGTTCTTGATTCATATTAAAGGACCTGATTGTAATATTTCTGCTCACAGTGTCAGCGTTATGGGGATGGAAGGCAGTGATGTTCATATTGACAAGGAGCCAGACGGTGTTATCATATACTCAAACAGTGTCGCCCATGATTCAGATTACGTAAATGCTAGCCCTGAAGATGTGGCACCACTGCCCGAGCGTATTAATCTCGACCCGGAGTCTGTTAATATATTGGATGAGAATCCTGAACTTCAAGACTGTGAAGTAAAAGAGTGCAATAACGACAAATCAGACGAGGTCACACAACTTTCTCGAGTCGAGGCACGTGAGCAAAATATACCAATATCTGAAGGTCTAAAGGTAATTGATGATAATAAGAAGAGACAAACTCGTGGTAGAAAAACTGCCAGGTCAGCTGTTGGAAACTGTAAAATAAAATGCACTGTTCCTCAGCCATTTGCTCTGGCAACTGAAAAACGGGCTTCATATGGACCTCGTCCTAATGGGGCTGAGTTCGACAATGTCACTGCTGGAGGGAAATCATCTCAAGTTCGTGTTGTGTCGCATGCGAATTCCGCAAAGCAGAATCCAGTAAATTCCCTCAAACCATTCTTTAGATTCCGTGTTTATTGCAAATTTTTTTCTCATTCGCATGACTTTCGTTTTTGCTATAATTTCAACCATTGGTGTGACTGATAAATGCATTTATCCAGTTTTCAGATGAACTCAGTAGTTCAATTCTAAGTACCCATAGGGATCGTTTGATCCATTATTAGCGAATTTCTTGATTATGTTGCGGGTTAACAATAAAACATGGCCCCAATCATGCTATGAAAAATTAATGTTGATCTAGTAATATATCAAGTCTATCAAACGAGGCCTAAGGTTATGTAACATGACTTACTTCTATAATGTATTACATATTACTATTATTTACGTTGATTTTTTCTTGCATGAGATAAACCGGTTCAAATGAAATATAACTTCCATGTGCAGGCTGTCTCACCTATTGTCCCAAGGAAGCCACTCCAACCTGATAACAAGAGGCGCCCTGATGAAGATAACTGCTCTGTTGCCTCATCGTATCCTATCTATAATCCTACGTTTGTTCCCTATATAACGCTCTATCCCTTCTTTTTAATTATTTCCGATTTTCCTTAACTATGTGAAGAACTGCAGCAACAGCTAGAAAATTCAAAACTACTGTTGCTTCAGCTCCGACTTTTAAGAGCAGTGCACGTGCTGAAAGAAGGAAGGAGGTATTAATAAATCGAAAATAGAAAATAATGCTTCGATTATGTCCTGTTATTTTAACAAGCCTTTATCTATATTTTTTTTGTTTAGTTCTACACAAAATTAGAGGAGAAACATCATGCACTGGAGGCTGAGAAAACTCAATATGAGGCAAGAACTAAGGTAACTTTACACTCTTACTATGTGTATTCGAATTCGAGCCTAACTGTACCTTAAAGCCCTTTTGTCTGAGATTGTGTCCTTGAATTTGTTTATCGTAGGAAGAGAGTGAAGCAGCAATCAAGCAACTAAGGAAGAGTTTGACGTTTAAGGCAAGCCCAATGCCAAGCTTCTACAATGAGGGACCACCACCGAAGATCGAACTGAAAAAAGTGAGCATTTTTTTTCTTTCAAGAATTACGAATGCGATTTCACAATTTAATGAACTAATTTATTTGGTTAATTATGAATACCAGCTACCTCCGACTCGTGCAAAATCACCGAAGTTGGGTCGAAGAAAGAGCTCCAGCGATGCAAAAGGTTTCGATATTTTCAGAGATAGTCCTCCTGCTATGACTTCCACAAACAGGAAAAATGGAGAGAGTTGCATGGATATTGCTGTTCATTCTTGATGAGCTGATTGTAAGTTATCCGATTAATTGTGGGGAAAAAAAGAGTTTTTAATTTATTGAGGGGTCAAAAAAAAAAAAAGAAAAAAAAAACCTTTTGAGTGGTTTGTTTTTAAATTAATGTGTGAAATTGTAAATTTATGCAAGTTTTTTTCAAATGTCGTTTTCGAAAATTTTATGTTGGTGTAAATATAAATTATGTTTCTATTGAAAAAAACCACAGGAAGAAGTCATCTTAATATCATCTGTGGTTTCTGGTTTCTTTCAAAATGGGCAAATTACGGCTAACTCCATGGGGAAATGTCAAATAATGAAAAAATCTCTCATATTTCGCCAACTATAACCATCTCATCAATTATATGGTACCATTAAATGAAGAATTTTTTTCGTAAGATAGTATATTGTTGAAGGGTGGTTGTAATTACTCGACAGAAGATGGTTTTTTCCGTAATTTGACCTATCTGAGGGGCCGGTCGTAATTTGCCTAATCAAATATGTTCAAAATGCCTCTAATTTGTAGACTAGGTATTAGCATTGGTTTTAAAATATGAAGATACCAAGTACTTTAATTTAATAGATCAAGATGCAAGGTTGGGATATTGTAAATTTGTAATTATAATATGGGTTGATTTTGTTATCCAATTTCTATTATGGACTTCAAATATAAACCCCAAATATGTGACGGAAATTTGATTATTTGTCCATCATTAAATGAATTTATTCAAATAAATTCAATCAATTTGTTACAATAAATTTAAAATTCTTCCATTCAAATGGAACAAGAACTTATCCATATTCACTGCAGCGCGTGCTTTGACTCTCCATTTCGCGCGTGAAAATGTAGAAACTAAAAAATATCAGAAACACCTTAACCATCCTAGTCATGCCACATAAGCCCAGTTCCAGCCACCGACCCGTTGTCGGCTCCTCCAATTTGTTTATTTATTTATTTTTAATAATAACATAAGAAAACATTTTATAAATTAAGATTATTTATCAAAAAAAAACATATGATTATAAATTACAACTAATTAGTTTTAAATAAATAAGTAAGTCATGATTTGAAGTTCGTTTTGCATAAATTAATTAATAAATTTATATTCTTAGGGTTTTTTTTATTTTTTCTATATAATTTTATAATTTAATGTTGTTAATATTGACAGAATAATTCACCTGGATATTCTGATCCAATAATAAGACGTGTTAATATCTACTTTCATTATGTACATTGTGCATCAACAGTTGTACATTTTTTCTCAACTGTACGGAACTGTAAAAACCAATTTTATCTAATTCCCATTTAATAGGTTCCTTCCACCACATCGCTTCTCTCTCTCTCTCTCTCTCCTCTTTCTCTCTCCTCTCTTTCTCTTTCTCTATCTCTCCCTTCTCTGCGGCAGCCGGCGGCGCATCGAGAATTAATTACAGCCAAATCCATGTAGCTAATCAACAGCTGCATAGAGGAAGCAATTCTCCCTGAATATTTTCCAAAAAGTAATTGAAGAAATGGAAGGGGGATGGGTTGGATTGAACAACAATGGTTTTGAATTCTTCAATACTCCGGCTGTGATGGAAGCATTCGTCGACATATTGGTTTGTGCGGTCCCGATTTGGGTGGCGGTGATGATCGGCTTGCTGATCGGCTGGTCGTGGCGTCCCCGGTGGACCGGTTTGGTTTTCCTCGGTTTCCGGTCCAAGCTCCGGTTTATTTGGACCATTCCGCCGGGGCTCGGCGCTCGGAGATTCTGGCTTGCGTTCACGGCGCTCTCCGCCTTTTCACTCTGCCGTGGTCTTTGGTTCCGGTCCCGCGGCATGAGCCGAAAGCTGGAGAAGTCGTCGTCTCAGGAGCTCCTTGACTCGGCTTCGAATTCGGCGCCGTCTCCGGCCGCCGCCGTCGCTCAGGACTCGTCCGCCGTCGATAATGGTAACCACGGTGATGTCAGGTATTTTTTATTCTATTTTTTTATTTTTTTTAATATTATTTAGCTTTTCCTTTTTCGTAGTTTAATTATTCGATTTTAGTGTACAAATCCTTAGATAGTGATTATAAATATCCAAATATCCAAGCCAGAATGTATGAAGAACGTGATATTTATTTCTTTTTATGTAAGAGTTTCGAATATATTGATGATACCTCGAAATTTAAAAAAAAAAAAAAAAAAAAGGAAAATGTTGGAAATATGGTAATGTAGATTAAAATGCAAATGATTGTGTATTTGTTCGTTAGAATAATGAGGTAGACGGCAATTGCACCGGAGGGGGTTATTGGTGGTCTCGGTTTCTTAATTGCCCCTCTACTTGTTGCACCTAAAAAATTCGGCATGTTCTTAGGTACAACTTTCTTTAACATGTGTAGATTAATTTTGTCAAGATGTAAGCAGACAAAAAAATTAAATCTACTCATGATGACAGCTGCATTCTTTCGTTGTAGAACTTAGGTAAATTTCCGTTCGAAGTGAACAAATTCTTTAATTTATTTTACCATTCACCGATGAGTATTGCGGCCTTTTTGCCGGTTACGAAGAATTTATTTTATCTTTCACCAGTTATAAATTATGCTCGACTTTCATTGTAACGAGTTTAAAGAATAAAGTAAAAAAAAAAAAAAAAAAAATCTGATTTACACGATTGAAAAATAGGACACTCATTATCCAATCTGCTCGTTATGTAGGCCTGTAACGGAATCGGTAGATGAAGATTTAAATAGTGTGACAGATAAAGATCTGGAACACCTATTAAATCTTCTTAATGGAAAAGATTGCGAAACGGGATGGCAAAGCCTAATGGAGCGCTCCACTTCAAACATGGCATACCAAGCTTGGCGCTCTGAACCCGAGGTAATATTGTCATTCATATGTCCAACATTCCGTTTTTTTACTACCGCATTTGGCAATGGGTATTTGGTAAAATTACCGACTCCGTTTAGATTGCAATAAGATATCGAGATCAAAATGAGGTAAAATAGGAAGATTATCTGGTTTTGGTGAACTAGGATTGGAAGAAATAGGATAAGATGTTTGACCATGTTTGACCAGCGACTAGTAAATTGCAGTAGTTAGTGTTCGTGCGTTTGTAAAAAATATATGGACTTTTGAGTTGTTAGAATATTCCGTTTACAGATGGGGCCGACAGTGTACCGCAGCAGAACAATTTTTGAGGAAGCAACTCCTGAGCTTGTGAGAGATTTTTTCTGGGACGATGAATTTCGTCCTAAATGGGATCCGATGCTTGCTTACGTCAAAATACTCGAAGAATGTCCTAATACAGGAATGATGGTTGTCCATTGGATTAAGAAGGTTAGTTGAACAGAAGTTTCAGTCCGATTAATACGATTTTATTGACAGCTTTTCAACTAATAATATGTTGATTAATTTTGCTGCCTTTGTAGTTCCCTTTCTTCTGTAGCGATCGAGAATATATCATTGGTAGAAGAATATGGGAAGGAGGAAGAAATTATTATTGTGTGACGAAGGTATGACCTTTTCTTATTAGAATTACGACCCTTATGTGAGATGCATGGCGTCTCTCTCTCTCTGTGAGATGCATGGCGTCTCTCTCTCTCTCTCTCTCTCTCTCTCTCTCTCTCTCTCTCTCTCTCTCACACACACACACACACACACATGTGAGCGTATGCACCTAATTTGCAAATGGTATGGGTGCAGGGAGTACAATACCCAACTTTGCCGAGGCGTGACAAACCAAGGCGTGTGGATCTTTATTTCTCAAGTTGGGTTGTCAAGCCTGGTCAGTGTTTTATTTCCAGTTTTATATTTACACCTAGTTATATATTTTCACTATAATGCTTAATTCCACTTGCACCCCAACTTTTTTTTGTGTTTTGGCAAATCAACCGTAGGAAAAAAAAATGATACTTGGCACCCTTGAAGCGTGTCAAATCGTTCACATTGCACCCCATGTTGGTATTTTGAAAGTCAATGGGCGTATTTTTATCTTTTCGGTAACAATTAAGTCGATTTTTCGGGATATTTACAAACACCAACAACTCTTAGTAACAAACAATTATTTCAAGTTTGACTCGCAAGTCACAGTCGCAAACTTCTAATTTTGCACGAGTTTCTGCAAACATCACCTAACTTAACGCAAAAATTATGCAGTTCAATCACGTAAAGGAGACGGCCAATTAACCGCATGTGAGGTTAACCTCGTTCACTACGAAGACATGGGAATCCCAAAAGACGTAGCCAAGCTAGGCGTCCGCCACGGGATGTGGGGGACCGTGAAGAAGTTACACTCCGGTTTCCGATCATATCAAACTGCTAGAAAACTCGAGGCTTCACTAACTAGGTGCGCTCTCATGGCAAAAATCACAACCAAAGCTCCCTTCGAAGAAGAACAACAAGAGGAAGAAGAAGGCTCGGATAATAACGCCGAGCAAGTAGTACATTGTGAGGAAGAAAGGAGTTTGTTAGTAGCAAAGGAGGGGCGGAGGGATGGTGGTGGGATTGACTGGAAATGGGTGGCTATTGGCGGCACTGTGGCGGTCTTTTGTGGGCTTCAAACGGGGTTCATTGGCAAAGCTTTGTTGATTGGTGCGGGGAATAGAATTGCTCGGAGAGGAGGTAATCGATCCTAGGTGAGACGATTTGCTTCGATTTTTTATTTATTAATGATGCTTTGATTGTTTGAGCAACTATACATACTCTTTGCTTTTCATGTGTGTGTATGTATGTATATCTTTGTAAGCAGAGGATTCTATACTCTATTGTTTGATCCCTTATTAAGGAAGCTCCTCAAATAAAGTAACTGACATATAATTTTATATGCATCATTAACTAGGTTTAACAATTATAAGATGAATTTTAAATTTTCTTTTTATTTTCAATTATAAAAGGCTGTAAATATTTTAAAAGTAATAATATGAATTGGATTCATTGGATTATATTCATTTACTATTGAATATTTTATTAATTAGTTAATAAATTGTTTTTTTTTATTATTAAATAAAGTAAGAGAATTTATAAAATTTAAATACGTAATTCAAGAAATATTATATATTTATTCTTTATTATTGTGTTCAATGACAAATATCGAGTGTGTCCAAAGTTTGCAATTCATTCCAGTTGTAGATTAGTGTATATGCTTACAAATATTGCAACAAGTTCCAATTTCTAACAAACTTGATACATTTTATCGGACAAGTTCGATGTTCTGAATTGGTAAATAATAGTAATAAACTTATAAAAAAAAAAACAGATATTTTATATTGATTGAATTACATATAATCTTATGATTTGTTCTGTTTCGTTATACCACGTGAAGTAGTTATCCCCTGGTGCAAAAATCTTTGAATTCGTATATATCGGGGAATAATTAATTTGTTGTCGTATGATAAATAATATATTTTTGAAATGTCACAAAATATATAAATTAAATATACTAAGGACAATATTTCTGAAGAGAGATAGCCGACTTAGTGCAGTGGTACTGGTATGTATTATTGATTTACATTGATACCGTATTTAGATTGATAGTTACTCAGACATACGTTTCATCGATGTAGAATTACGTTATATTATGGGGGTGTAAATAGGCGAGTTGGCTCGCGCGGTGAGCTGGATCGACAAATGCTCGAACTTGAACTCAAACTTGAATTTTTTTAGCTCGAGCTCGACGAACTTTCCGATGAGTCAAGTCCGAGTTCGTTTTTAGTTGATCGTGAGCTCGCGAGCTTATTATTTTTATTTTTATTTTTAATTTTATTTTATTTATTTTTTAAATATAATTCATATAAAATTATATAATAAATTCATATAAATAATTAAAAAATAAATTACATGTCATTTTTTTATTTCGATTTTTTTACAATTTATAATAATATTAATAAAAAAAAATACACAAAATAACTTAGGCTCGAACTCGAGTTCTAGCTCAGAAAAACAATACTCGAAGAACTCGAACTCGCCAAAGTGGATGCGAGCTCGAGTTCGAGCAGTCCACCCATATTTGGGCCGAGAAGAGACAAACTTTTTAGGCCTTATCCTTAATTAATTACTTATTTAATTCACGTCAATAAATTTAAAAATAAAAGAAGTTATTAGTATCTTTAATTTTAATTTGAATGGATAAAAAGAAGTTAATAGTTGCAATCAAAGGCCCAACGCCACTCTTGTCAAAGCCTTTATGGTGAAAGCCACCCCCAAGTTGTAGAGCCGTTTGGGTAACATAATTAATTAATTAATTAATTAAATAAATAATGGATCGTGGGTTGTCTCCATGAATGGACAAGCTTAAAATAGACACCTCACCCCAACCCAACCCCCTATTTTCATATATAATTAATATAAATAAAAATTTACACTCTTATATAATAGTCAGTCGAGATAACAAACCATTCCGAACAGTTAAAACTAGGATATTGTGGACTTTTTGTAACAAAAATGTCAATAGAGTGGACAAAATTAAAGTTACCTAAACAAAATTACGTCCAAATTGGTTTATGATAGATATATATCTCTAACTTTTTAATTGCCATAAAAGGAAGATGTGTATGTAAGATAAAGGGAAATGAAGATGATTCTTTGTGGATAGGTCAATCCACTAGTTATTGATGGATGATATTTAGTGCTTGGTGGCCCTAATACTTAATATAATAATGAAATTGGAATAATGTATTTGTAGATCATTTGGACCCATGTTGATTCTTTACCAATTTCACAAGGATAAGTTCATATATCTATATATAATATGACATATATATATGTACATATAGGGGTGTATGTTAGTATAGGTGAATGAAAAGAACTATCTATATTCCATCAATTTTAGTTTTAGATTGATTTAGTCGTGAAAATCGGATGGAACAGATCATAACTATCAATTTCAGAGAACTTTTTTTTTTCTTTTTCTTACCAAGACTCTAATTCCAGTTTAGTTCTAAAAAAATTCGATAAAAAGCTAGGAAATCAAAATTTCAGAAATTGAAATGACTAAATATGTTTAACAAATTAGAAGTCTTCCGATCGAAATCAGTGCATTTTGGAATATCCCTTTTTGTGGCCGCATACAACACAAAATACATAATTTTCTAGAAATGAAACTTTCGGAAGTATTTGAAGTGTAGATATTAGAAGAAAATATAGAATTTTCAGATATTAAAATTAGATCGTAAATCAGAACCTAATGCATTGGATAACCCTAAAAATTCTAATGGCATATTTGTATTTTATTTTTTCTCTTTTAAAAATTTCAATTATTTTTTATCTACTAATAAATTTTATTAATATATTTGTTATTAACAATTTAAAAAAAAAATGAAGATTTTAATTTTATGCGCGTGGGCCATGACGTTAACATATGAATATGATGTGAGAAAAAAGGTACCGGAGCTAAAGGTTAAAAGGGAGAGAGAACCGTCAACCGTGGAATCACCGGCATGCAATTAAAGCCTACGTGGCAGCCGCTCAGCCTTTCCTGCTTCAATTTGCGCAGACTTCTGAAACCATTTCTCTCACAGCCTAAGTCGGTTGCCATTTTCTCTCTCACACACACACGCGCACGCACGCACTGTGTGCGTGTGTTGGAGTCTCTATATAAATAGTGTATATATTCCCTGGAGCAGAAAACAGTACTGTAGTGTATTATTCCGTAATTAAGAGAGAATTGGTTTGATTCAACCTGCTATGTATTGAGTGGGTGAAAAAAAGGTATGTGTGACTGACTTTGTTGATTTATATGATTTCCTGATTAATTGTATAATTTTTTTAATTGCTTTTTGACCTCTAAATATCACAATTTAGGGTAATTGAGTTGCTCAATTGCAGAAGGATTAGCTGATGGAGTTTTTTTTTGATGGAATTGTTAGCTGTAATTATGCTGGAGAATTCATGAATGATTGTGTGAAGAAACTCTTCTTATTTTGCTAGCATATGAAAAAAGTATATGATTATGCATATGAAAAAGGATAAATTGGCATTAGTTGTTATACAGGGTATCTCCTCCAATTAAGAACATTTAACATGATCAATCTCGAAAAAATAAAGAGAAGTAAAGAAATTCGAAAGATAAATCATTTTCGTTCTGTTTTAGTGCTTCTCTTAGATGCCATATATGGCGGCGTGAAGTTTTAAATAAATCTACGTCATTCTTAAAGATTTTGTAGTAGGGAAATATTGGATCATAGGTAAAATTCGTTAGGATATATGAAATCAAATAGAAATTCGATGTGTTTTTTTTTTCTCTTATGGTTTTCGGAATATCAAGGTCTACTAAATGACTTCCTTTGCTTGTCCGAAAAACTTCAGGATTCTTGGTGATAAACTATATAAAGGGACTGATGACGAATACGAACACTGAGGATCTTGATTTAGTACTGGCGTTGGATTCTCGAAATTACAGAATCCAAACAAGGCTGAACAATATTTCAGGTGCAGGTGTAAATGCAAACGCAAGAGGGGATTTGGCATTTGCAGCCTCGGATCCCCTGGCTGAATTAGTTTGGTCGCCACATAATGGTTTGCGTCTTAAATCGGCTAATTCGGATGTGGCTGATAAAAGACCCTTTCTCATGTGGAACGTGGGAACCAGCTGTAATGTTCTTTCGCCGTCGCAGTATATCATATCCAAGGAGATTAAAGATGATAAAACTGTTGAAGCAAATGACATATTTAGTGATAAGGCTGTTAGGTTCTGTAATTGGAGTAAGTCATCTTTTTTTTCTCCCGTAAATCATTAGATCCTTTCCTTAATCGATCTGTGTATTTTTTTTTCTGCTTATTGAGAAATTTTTGGGAACTGTTTATTTAGAAGAAGGCGATAGTATAATGGAGGAGGAAGTTGGAACCAGAGATGATCTTCGGAAGGAGGAAAATTTGTGCCGTTTGGAGAATATCGAAATTGCTGAAATGAGCCAAAAGAGTGCTGGTATGAAGTGCTAATACTTCAATCTTTTTTCACTTAGTATATTTGTTATGTGAACCCTTGATGACCTGGTTTTTTGTTTTCTTACATCTCATTATGTTTTTCACTTTTTCTTAGTATTTCATATGATTTGTCGAGATTTCTGGTTGCATATTTTTAACTTCATGAAAAGTTAGAATATCATCTTCTTTTACGAATATTTCTGTGGATACACTTCTTCTCAAGATATATATAGTTCTTGTGATTAGAATTCCATTTATCCTCTGTAAAATTTCATCGAAACATCTCACTAATTTCTGCTGTTTGTTTACTTTAGGACTGGATACTTCAGCAAATCGGATAAGTGATTGTAAGGTTGACATGACAACGAATTCGCTATCTCCGAAAGAACCAGATTATAAACTAACTTCAGCTACTGTAGAAGTGAACAAGAATAAAACCGACATGCCCAACAGTTCAGGTGAGATGAAAGTTCATGAGGAGAATTCTCGTTCCGTTGAAGGATCTCCAACAGGTAGTAGGGTTTTCTTACATCAAGACAAGGGGAAAGAGAAAGTATTGTCCGATGGTGATAGAAATGTGGGACCCTCAACAGATGACGAGGAGAACACTCACGAGAGTGTCGAGAGTTGTAATAGCGCTGTATTATATTGTCCGAAAGGTGTAAAAAGGCAGAGCTGCGACAATCTGGTTCTCGAAAGTAAGAGGATGAAAAAAGAAGATTCTTCGTTTATACTCAGACACGATAGCTCTTTCATGAATTGGATATCGAACATGGTGAAGGGTATATCCGATTCTAATAAAGAATATTCCCCGTTGGAAGATTCTCCGTCGGCCCACCTTGCTCTGACTTTGGCTTGTTCGACTGATGTTTATGGTAAGAAAACACATGATTCGAAAAACCTAAGTATGGGGTTCCAAACCATATTCCAGTCTTTGTCGTGTAGAAACACAACTGTAATATATAAGGACAAAGAAGAATCTAGAGTTATGGTGGCTGAAAAATCATCACCCGAAAGTCCTTCTCTATCGAGTGAGAAGGACAAGAATAACTCTTCTGGTTTATGTAATAAAGAAGCAAATCCAATCACTGTTGGCCAGACAAGTAAACCCTGGATATTCTCTGAATATGTTGAAAATGAAGATTTGGCGAAAAAAGGAGTGATGGAATCTGATTCTTCAGGTGAAAAGACGAATATCACTGCAGAAATTAAAGCAACTCCTGACAAAAGTAATCCTCTCACCAGTTTGTGGATTACTCGCCTTTCTACGAAAAATCCTAGGTTAGAAAAGTCGGACGAGGTTACTCGAAAAGTCAATGTTGCTCGAGCGGTGGATGATGTTTTGCCTATTGATCGGAAAAAGCCGGTTTTAGGTAATTCTTTTCCTAGTTATCGGGCTTGGAATGTGAAGAAGTACTACTCGAGCAAAAGTGTTTCGACTGTGAATGAAATCGGAAGAAACAGTACTCCTTCTAATTTGGCAAACAATGTAGAAGATAATCGAAACTCACAGAATAACACAGCTGTATCCTCGAAAGTATTTCATGCAATAAGGAACTTGCGTCTTACTCGTGCTGATATTCTCAGGTAAAAAAAGGTGTCTTTATTCAATTAATTCTTGAAAATAGTTCTGTTAAACCAATAACCGGAATTTTGATATACATTAATATTTTTTATTTTATTTTAATAATTCAGATGGATGAATTCGGGCGTGTCTTTGTCGCATTTGAGTGGTTTTTTCCTGCGCCTTCGGCTTGGAAATGTGGAAGCAGGACAAGAGGGAGGTAGTTACTATGTTGCTTGCATAACAGGTATGTTATTAATATACATGTGGACTAGTTAATATCAGTTTTTTAAGCATTATGTATAAATATAAGTTTTGGGATTGAAGTAACAACAGCAACAAACATTTGATTGAGATTGATAAGACAGGAGTTTGTTTAGCCCAGACAACTAAAGCTGCTATTTTTTTGTGTGTTTGTTTGTTTTTTCTCGACGTTTATTTACTTTTTTCCGGTCGATGAACAGGGGATGGTAGAGAACATAAAGGTAGCAGATCAAAGAAGTCTGTGTTGGTGGATGTTGGTGGGATTATATCATCTGTTGAGAGTCAGTATGTTTCCAACCAGGAATTTCTCGAGGTTAGTTTCTGAGCCAGCCATGGTTTTTATTTTTCCCTTATTATTCATGGTCCAAATTCTCGACTGAAATTTCTCCATGTATTTCGGTTAAACTGAACTGGAGTTGAAGTTGAGCTCACTCTAAACTGAAATTTTTTCAATGTTTTTTCGGTTTGGCAGGATGAGATTGAGGCTTGGTGGTGCAGAATTATGGACAGTGGTTGCAAGATTCCTTCATTAGATGAGCTCAACTCTAAACTCAAAGACAGGCATATTTTGGGGTTTTAGTAATATTTATCTTTTTGTCCTTGTATTCACTGCAACCTTGTACTAAAACCAACTCCATGGTTAGAACTTAGAACAAGTGATTTCTTTTTTTTTTTTTTTTTTTTTTTCTCCCTAAAGAGAAACCCTACTCTTCGGAGTGGGTTAATTGGGCTAAAACCCAGTACATGTATATAAATAAGAATTCATGAATATTAAATTATTATTATTATGGAAAATATAAATATCATTAATTACTAGTTAATTGAATCTGAGAAACTATTCGATTCCTCTTCATGAACAGTTTCTTGATATTCTTTGTGTGAACCTATAAATGTAAATGAATTCCCCCATTGAAGCCACTCATCGAATCACGCCGATCATGGCAGCTAACGATGGCAATAACGATTTTTGGGACTTTTTTAACCCATCTAACCTTTCAATAATCTTTGAGGAAGCTTCGAAAATCAGATTCCAGGACTATGCTTACTGTAACTACAACCCGAAGGCCCTTTATGGAAAGATCACCGAAAGAATCTCCGACGAAAAATGGAACACGGAAGAGGCTTACGGCGAGATCATGAAGGCGGTCACTGTTGGTCTTGTGAGAGGAAACATAACTCAGCATCAAATCGAAAAGATTCCCGTCGGCGAGAGTATTCTGAAATCGGTTGCTAATTTCGGCATCCAAATCCGAAAGAAGACCGAAAAGATGCAGTGCTATCCCGACACCCTGACCTTCGTCAGATTTATCTCTCTGTTCCCTCATTTCGCAAGCTGTGCGTGCCTGATAATCCCTAGCAATTTGACGCAGAAAATCCCGTGCGACGGAATTTATTCCGCATGCATACTTCCCGTCGGGATGAAGCACAGCGGCTTCGCTGCGCTCATTCCGGCGGGTCCCGATTACAGAGCGGTGCGGGGTTATCTCTCCGTTGCTTTTACTGCTTTCATGGTAGAGTTCTGGGATGTGATGAATCCGAAAAAATCGAACCGCGCTCCACAGGTGAAGTTCGAAGAGCAGTTCCGGTTGACCGAAACCGCAATTGATGACGGGAGAATGAGCGACGAACGGAGAATTACTGCTTTGAAAGTTGCCATGGTCAACTCTAGGGTTTCGTTGGACCGGATTCTGAGAGTTGTGGGTAATGTTCGTAGGGTGCATGGTATGGCGGTGGAAGACCCTGGGTTGTACAAAAACGACGCCGTTTTGGAAGGTGATTTCTGGAAATTAGGGCACACTCGTGAAATTGAAGATGAAACGGGAATCAAGGCTGCTGCAGAAATTGAGGGTATCAAGAAGAAATACCCTGATTATGGTGAAGTTATGGATCACGCAAGCTGCTCTTCTGTCTCTTCTTCTTCAATTGATGCTGCTACTTCTGCAACTGCAGATCTTCCATTATTTACTGAAACTGTTGTTTTTCCAGGTTTGACTGGTTTTCCAATTTGAAAAATTGATGTATTGACAAAATTTAAATGCGTTTTTAAGTTTGTAATAATGGGGCTGTTTATTTTGATTTATGCATGCATCATGCATGCATGCATGATTGATCAAGTATTAAGAAAATGTTGTTTGACAAGAATGTCCTTGTCAATTTTCACATGCTCTATTATCTTTAGAAAATAAGAAGAAGAAAGACAATTAGGGCCAAATTCGTTTTTCACTCTTGGTTTTTCATGTTTCTGTATTTCGGACATGTTTTGTGTTCGACATTTGAGGATACCTGTCGGACACCTCATGGGCCAGTTTGCAATTTTTAAAAAGTTAGAGACATATTTTAATAGCAGTTTTTTTTTTAATATTTGTTGTTGTTTCCCCAATTAATTACATGATTTAATTATCAATTACAAATTATTAGTTGATTTATTTTGGATATGTTTATATAGCATATTTATATTTATAAATCTTCCTGTATATTTTTAATATTTGCATGTTTTCGCCAAGCTTGCGTATACCCATCATTTGGAGTATGTATTTCCTTGTGTTCGTTTCCCCAGTTCCTAGTATCACCGTTTCCGTCCTTGCTACATAGCTCGTCACTCATCTTATGAAGCTAATGTGACTATGCCATTTTATGGAGATACTAACATTTTAATTAAATAAAAATTAAAATTATATGCACTTAATACTAATTAATTAAACCTTTGTAAGTTCTAACAATTGTTGAAAAGGAACAACTAATTGTTTAATTATTACTCATTTAACTCAATCTCAACCACCCTCATACTATATGACTTTTTGTAACAATTGTGGAAATTACAATTAGACCTCCTATGTTTCACTTATTCTCAAATCTTACCCCCACAGTTTTCATAAAACCCGCCAATCCAAACTTCAATCTCCATCTCTCACTTTCAGTCTACACACTTCCTCTGCTCTGCATTTCATAACCGCTTCACACACACACACACAGTGAGACAGAGCGAAGCAGAGTTCAGATCATTCGGTGATTTTTTTTGAATCTCTTCTTTCCCGCTCAGTTTCCCGATTCACCTTGCTTTTGAGGTATAATAATTTCCTAATTCTTTCCATCTGGTGAAATTTTTCGTATGTATATGCATATAGGGTTTATGGATGTCTTTCGCCCCCCCGAAATTGAATTTTGGAGGTTAATAGATCCAATAAAACATGTCAATTGTCTTGATTTTGTTGGTCTTTTCTTGTTGATTTTGATTGTTTTTGTTTTCGTTTTCCCGCCGATGAATTTACTGTGGGGTAAATAGATTGAATTCGGGAATAATCTCTGTGTTAAGTATTTTAGGGTTTCTCTCCCAATGTTTTGATTTTACTTAAGCTGGATAGGTAGATTGAAAAGGAAAATTACGCCCAAATATTTAGAGTAAAATTGAGTGTCCTCTTCCTTTATTTCTTCATCAGTTTCTTTGTTTCTTGGGAACTCAGTGATGACTTTATTTATTCCAGCTACTTAGAGATTCAAAATATTGATAAAGATTTCCAAATCTTGCTCTTTGTATTCATTTTTTCTTTTTTGGGGTTCGAAAATAATTTTGATATATTTTCTGGTGGTATTTAAGGCTTGGAGAAACTATGCAAAAGGATACTAGTTCCGGTGAAACGAGTTTATTTTTTATTTTTTTCAGAGTCGGTATTATCTTTACTCTCAGTACATTGCATTGGATGGAGTCGGTGAATAATATTGGACTTTTGCTGTGACTACTATGCTAGCTGATTGATTAAAGAGTAATTCTGCTGTGCCACTTTTTATGCTTAAACTACACTGTTTCTCTTATGTTGCTAAGTCGAACTATTTCGAGTTTTAACTGTATATAATATAACTTGTCAGAAATTCTGATTTGTTTGCCTTTCGGTTTCTTACACTCCAGGTCCCGATGGAAGTTGATAAAGATAACGAAAGCCATTTACTTCTCGTTGATGACTGTGAGTCAATGAGTACTGTCACTTACGATTTATCTCAGATGTCAATCGCTTGTCGTCAGGCCGCTACCAAAATCAGATTCCAGGACTATGCCTACAGTAGCTACAACTCTAAGACCCTCTGTAAGAAGATCAACGAGAGAATCTCCCGTATGAAATGGGATAGGGATAAAGCTTTCGATGAAATGATGAAGGCTGTGACTGTTGGTCTTGTGAGAGGAAACATATCCGAGGACGAAATCGAAAAGATGGGCTGTGGTGGTGGTGGAGAGATTGTCAGATTAGCCACTGCTTTTGGCATCCAAATCCGAAAGAATAGCAACGAAAATACGGCGTGCGATTCCGACGCTCTGACTTTCGTCAGATTCCTTTCCTTGTATCCTCATTTCGCAAGTCTTTTGTGTCTGATAATGCCTATCCGTTTGACTCAAAAGATTTCTTGCGAAGGAACTTATTCCGCGTGCATTCTGCCTCTAGCAATGAAGCATGTTGGCTTTGCTTCTCTCATTCCTAAGGGCCGTGATTACAGAGCTATACGAGGCTATCTCTCGGTTGCTTTTACTGCTTTCATGGTCGAGTTTCATGACGCTACCAATCCTCCTAACAAATCGAACCTCAATCTACAAGCGAAGTTTGCGGAGCAGCTTCGGTTGACTAAAATTGGTATCAAGAAAGGGAGAATGAGCAACGACTATGATAGAATTTTTATTCTGAAAGTGATTCTGATGAACTGCAGAGGTGCACTGGAGAGTGTGTTGAGGGTGGTGGGGAATGTACGTAGGGCCCACAGTATGGCGGTGGAGGAAGATCCTAGGTTGTATATTGACGAGAATGTTTTGGAGGGCGATGTATGGAAAATCGGACGCACTCGTGAAATTGAATGTGAAACGGGAGAAAGGGCTGCTAAGGCAATTAAGAAGCTCAAGAAGAGATATCCTGATTATGGTAAAGTGGTGATGGATCACACTTGCTGCTGCTCTTCTTCAACAGCTGAAGCTGTTTTTTTTCCAGGTTTGACTGGCTTTTCAATTTGATTTTAATAATTCAAATAAATCATTCAATTTGATGAATTGACACAATTTGAATATGTAAAGGGTTTTTTTGTATAGTGAGCCCAAATATTTTCTTACATGTCTATCCTTCTTATAGTGTCAAATTTACCTATTGAAAGAGGGGAGTTTTCGTAAGGCAATACATAGTTGAGGGGTTTTTTCGTACGACAATACATAATTGAGGTGTAGTTGTAATTACTCAAACAAAAAAGGATTTTTCGTAATTTGACATTATATCAGGAGGGAGGTTGTAATATTGGGCCTAAAAAGAAAAACAATTAATATACCGAGGCCAAGGTAAAATGAATTTTATTAAATTAAAAGCATGCACAAAATACAAATTGATTTAGACCTTATTAACAGTTGTGGAAATGAAACAAGTAATTATGAATTCTTTATAATTCCACTTTTGATAATTAAACCTTTCGTTCGGCAGGTGTAAAAGAAAAAGTGAAAATTGCAATTTAGACCTCCTACTTTCACGATTTGTTCGCACCCACAGAATTTTTATCACAAAAGCCATAAATCTAAACTTCAATCCCCATAGTTCCAGTTTTCAGTCTACAACACAATAAGTAACCGCTTCCAAACACACCCTCAAAAAGTGAAAACACACACAGAGCCTTCAATCTCGCCCTTTCTTCAATCTCTTCTTTCCCGCTCAGTTACTCGCATCACCTTGGTAGTGTTTCCTTCTTTCGTTTCTTCTGGTAAAAATTTTCGTTTATATGTGTATTTTACTGTTCAGTGCCATATTTAGGGTATTCGCCGGAGGGAAGTTATTTAGTTCAGAGCTTGTGATTTTATATGTTTTCTGAACTAATTGAATTTACTTGGGTTTTTATCAAAGATGTATTCGTACGACGTTGTAACCCTTAACTGCTACAGTAGTCACTATTATTGGGTTTAACGGTTATGGGGGTTTTTGACCCCATGAAATTGATTATAAGAGATCCAAGAAAGATATGCCAATTTTTTTCATTGTTGCTCTTTTGTGCTTTTTGTCGATGAATTTATTTGGGAAAGCAAATATATGTTAACAAAAATGTGAGATCAAAGAAAGGCACATTGAAATTTATATATTGTTTGGGAATATATATCTTGAAGTTTTTTAGGGTTTTTAGGTTTCGTCTCCCACACTTTTGGCTACTTAAAATGGATGTTAAGTTTGAAGTACATGAATATTTTGTGTAATTTATGTGTCCTCTTCCTTTAATTCTTCTTCAGTTTCTCTGTTTCTTGGAAACTTGTGAACAGAGAAGATTAAATTTTACACGAGAGATTCCATTACATTGTATGACTTTCTTTAGTCTAGCATTCAGAGATTCAAATATTGATAAAGATTCTCGTGCTTCCTCTTTGGCTTCAGTTGTTTTTGGAATTGACATATCTGTGATATATTTTCTGGTGGTATTTAAGGCTTGGAGAAACTATGCAAAGGGATACTAGTTCAGGCCGCCCATCAACACCTAGTGGGCCTACTGCACGGATACGTCGGCGTAGAGGTTCAAATGAGGTTAGTTACCCTTTTTAGAGTCAATATTATACTTATTCTCAATACATTCCATTGGATGGAGTAACCAATTATTTAGGGTGTTTTTTAAATCAGTGAATAACTCTACCATCGTAATTTAGATTTGATGTTCTTTGTGGACAATTTTTATGCTTAACTATAACAATGCTGCTTTAAAGAAGCAGAAATGTTGTTTCCGTTCTGTTGCCAAGTCAAATTAATTTTGGTTTAACTGTATATTATAACAGTTCTAGAAGTTCTCAGTTGTCTGCCTTTCGATTTCTTATACTCTAGGTCCCTCTGGATGTTGATAAAGCTAATGGAAGCCATTTACTTGTTAATGACCGTAACAAGTACAAGTCATTTTTAACCCGAGCATATTCGACTATTTGGATGATTGGAGGGTTTGCCTTCATAATATACATGGGTCATCTTTATATCTGGGCCATGGTAGTTGTCATCCAAATATTTATGGCAAAGGAGTTGTTCAATTTACTTAGGAGAGCACACGAAGACAAACGCCTGCCCGGATTCAGGCTCTTAAATTGGTGTGTGACTTAGTTTCTTGTCGGACTCTTTAGTTTAATTTTCCATTCTTTCTTCTGCCCTTTGGACATCATTTGTAGGTTGATCACTGCTAGTTGCAAGGTAATTTTATGCCCATAAAGCTCTTGGAAAGTGAAAAAACAAAAGTCTGAGTTCTCTAGTCTTTTAATTTACTGCTAGTTGCTTTATTATTATTTTCCCTTCTCGCTGGAAGATGGTTTCTGATATTTAGTTTTGTTATTGACCACAAGTACTTGCCTATCTCTATAGGAATTTTCCATATTATCTTATTGCGTTTTTATTTCTATTTTTTCAGGCACTTCTTCTTCACAGCAATGCTATTTGTGTATGGTCGCATTCTCAGTCAGAGACTTGTGAACACTGTGACTACAGATAAAGTTTTGTATAAGCTCGTGAGCAGAATTGTCAAGTATCATATGGTTACCTGCTATTTCTTGTATATCGCAGGTTAGTAAAGATAGTTTGTTCTATCTGTATCTTTCCTTTTCTTTTCCTGTGTTACTTTTCTATTCTAAAATCTAGTTTTTCGGTCGGTTCTGTTTTCATGATTCTGAGGTATCTCATTGATGGGTGCTTCTAAAATATCACCCTTGAGTTGCTGACTCATCAAACTTGGTTTTTGTATTTGCTGTTGTGAACCTTTTCTATCGTTCATTTCAAGTGACACAATGCTTATGATTTTTCTTGGGGTTCAAACATGTTTATTTGCATATTATCATTCGGCAAGTTTAAACTCTTAACTCGTCAAATGTTCAATTAATTTCTTCTCTTGGTAAATTCAGGTTTCATGTGGTTCATTCTAACACTGAAGAAGAAGATGTACAAGTATCAATTTGGCCAATATGCATGGACGCACATGATTCTGATTGTGGTGTTCACACAATCGTCATTTACTGTGGCAAATATTTTTGAAGGAATCTTCTGGTAAGACAACTTCAAATCTCCTGTTTAGCATTATAAGTCGCATGGAACACTAAATACTTTTTTACATTTTCTTGTTTAATTTTTATTTGTCATTAAGGTCTATGCCAATTCAGTTCTAAGACTTCGCCCAATCTTGTCAAAATGCATTCCAAATATTTGCTCCTGTGTGGCTCACTCGACATAGATTATGGGTAAAGAAAATCAAGTTTTAGTCCCATTTCTTGGTTGCTTAGAATTTAGTTTTACTAGGAGACAACATTTTCAATATAGTTCATTTTATAGTTCTTGCAGAAAATCTAAAATTTCTCCTCTTACACAGCCTTCTCTTGCAACATTGTTTTTTTCCTTGATCTTGTTTGGTAGCTGAACGAGAAAATTAAAACTGCATCATTAAGTAGACCTGACATAGAATCTTTTGAATACATCTTATTAAATTGAACATGGAAAAAGAACTAAACGCAGATTGACAATTATGCAGGTTCCTTCTTCCAGCATCACTTATCGTCATCAATGATATTGCTGCTTATGTTTTCGGGTTTTTCTTTGGGAAAACTCCTTTGATCAAGTTATCACCAAAGAAAACATGGGAGGGCTTCATTGGAGCATCTTTTGCTACCATGATCTCAGCCTTTTTGGTAAGCATTTATCCATTTATTAGGAAATAGACTGAGATAGTGCACAATCTTTTTGGTACCATTTTACAGTTTAAAATCACTTGCTTTTTCAGCTTGCTAACATATTGGGCCGCTTTCAGTGGTTGACATGCCCAAGAAAGGTAATGTGGCTTATATCCACTGTTCTTTGCTTCGGAATTTTATTTGTTTGGATTCAAGAAGCGTATTAACTATTATGTGGCTTTGCATATGTAGGATTTATTGACAGGCTGGCTTCACTGTGATCCCGGTCCACTGTTTAAACCAGAAAATTTTGCTGTACCAGAGTGGTTTCCTGAATGGGTAAATGGTTTATCTGTCTAATTGTATACAAAATGATCTTATTTCACTGAATGCTTCTTTAGTGATAACGGATAGGTTTATTTGCATGGAAACATCTGCTGCTGAGTCATGGTAGTAAATCTTGTATTCTTTCAATTTTATAAAAATGCAGAGAAATCATCCATTTTTCTCATCAAAATTTTGGGTAATAGGGTCTCTAAATTTTTTGTTTTATTGTATGTTTCCAACTATACCAAATTTGTCTTCGTACTTTGTTAAGGGAAAATCCTTTGCCTTCTCTATTTGTATGGATGAGAAAAACATTCACATGGTATGGAAGCGCCATTATTTGGAGAAATATTTTTGTTGGGAATAAAGGTAAAAAAACTTTTGTTCGGTAAAACGATATAGGCGTGTAAGGAGGTATACCTTCGTCAACATTAAATATTACATCAGCTCTCCTGTAGTTCAATTGCTAATATGGAACTTGTTGCAACGTTGAAGGCCTACAACTGTTATTCTCTTTTTCACGATTTTGCTTTGTATATAATTATTTTCAATGTACTTCAATTTTACGCAGTTCCCCTGGAAAGAGATTTCTGTTTTGCCCGTACAGTGGCATGCATTATGTCTTGGTCTCTTTGCATCAATTATAGCACCTTTTGGAGGCTTTTTTGCCAGTGGCTTCAAAAGAGCTTTCAAGATCAAGGTTTGATGATATATCACGATATTTTCAATCATTGGTTATTTATTTGTCAATGTATGCATAACATTCACATGGTCCAGTTAAGAAAGCGTATTTTCATATATTGGATTCTTTGTAGGATTTTGGTGATAGCATTCCCGGACATGGTGGGATGACTGATAGAATGGATTGCCAGGTCAGTCTGAAATGAAGTGGACCTCTAAATTTAGTCATTCCATATATTTGGGTAAATATGAAGTCTGTGGTACATGTTACGATTTTCGCACTCCAAATGAGAGTTTTCTTGATGTGCAGATGGTAATGGCTGTTTTTGCGTATATATATCACCAGTCATTCATTGTACAACAGAGCTTATCAATTGAGATGATCATGGATCAGGTAAAATTAATACCTGCAATCTCGTTTTCTGAGTGTAATATGAATATTTTGTTGATATTTTCTCACTGTCTGTAGATATTGATGAACCTTTCAATTGAGGATCAACGAGCATTATATTCGAAACTCGGTCAGATCATCGTTGGAGAATCATGAATCGGAGCTGTGTATTATTTAGGATAATAGATTATTAGATGCAGGCATTAGGCATTCTACCCTTTATTGCATTTTGTATAGTGCTTTAGCTATTGATTATCTTCTGGGACTGTATATATTATTATGAGCCCAATAAGCGGAAAACATTAATAGAAGAGGCCCAATAAGATAAATAGACGGCCCAAGCAGGCAAAAAAAATAGGCTCAGTAAGCCAATTAGAATAGGCTTGGGCCCAATAAGCGAAATAAACGGCCCAAACAGACTAAAAATTAGCTCCATAGAAGAGGCCCAATACGCGTGAAAAAAAAGGCCCCAACAGGGAAAAGAAGGCCCAATGAGAGAAATAAACGGCCCAAGCAGGCAAAAAATTAGGCCCAATAAGAGAAATAAACGGCCCAACAGGGAAGAGTTTCTGTGAATTTTGCTTGATGATTCAAAAATAAATGACGTATTTTGTTTTTTTTGATTAACTATTCATTGACTACTTATGTATACTATATATCTGGGTGTTAAAAAAAATATTTCACTATTTCAGCAATTTTTTTGTGAATATGCTTGACGATTAAAAAATAGTGAAATATTTTTTGATTAACTATTTCTTGGTTATTTATAGATAAAACATCTTGTAGAAATTTAAAATATTTCAGCGGTTTTTAGCAAAAAGACGTGTGCTATAGTATACAATTTTTTTGTGAATTTGCTTGACGATTCAAAAAAAAGTTAAATAATTTGGATAAACAACTAATGGTTATATACCATATATTTGGGTGTTAAAAAATATTAAAAAAAAGATTTGAACTTTCAGCGATTTTTAGCGAAAAACGGGCAATATGAAGAGATCTCTCGAGAGAACCAATCAAGATCCAACAAGTCCTTTCGCACGTGCATAAGAAATTATGAGTACAAAAAGAATTGCACAAAAAAACCCTGTGAAAATCACCACCTAAAAGCAAAAAAAGCTCACAAATCAGTAATTATAAATGAATCAAAGAATAAGCAATTTAATCTTCAGTACTTACCCATTTAAACATGTAACCGTGATCGTCATTCCATGTATATGGGATGTTCATACCGAATATTCCAGCTACCAAAGAGTATATAGATAAACATACGGTACCGGAGCTCAGAAAAAGCTCTAGCTGCAGCCAAACAAATCATCAAAAATTAAATAATCACTAGATAACTTTTTTTTTAAGATATAACTAATTTATGTAAAATCTGAAGAGCATATGAAGGACCTGAATCAGCTGGTTACGGTGATTGTCGAGCTGAGATGAGAAAACATAAAATGCTGTTAGATTTTTACACAATCAAGACGAGTATAGCATATCAATCAAACAAACAAAAAAGTTATCGCTATGATTTTACCTGGATATTGATATAATCTTCTGTGTTATCAACATATTCGCGAAGCTGTTTACGAAAAAAAAGAAGAAAAAACTCAGTGCCGAAAATATATTAGAAACTAAGAAAAACATCATTTGAAACATTCTCTCACATAAAAAGTAAATTTGGAGCCATGCTAGTTCTACAATTTTACGGATCCACTTGAACAACATTTATAACAATTTCTTAGATTACTTACGTTGAACATCTTCAATACTCTATATTTGGGTGTTTACAAATGGAAAACAAAAAAAATATTTTAAACATCTCATTGATTTTAAGCAAGAAAAACATGTGCTTAATAGTATATGTTTTTTCGTGATTTTGATTCATATGTTCAAAAATATGTAAAACATTTTTTTAGAAGAACTATTTCTCGACTGGATAAGGATAAAAAACTTCTATACTATTTATATGCATGTTACAAAATATTAAAAAACGATTAGATCGTTTCAGAATTTTTTAGGAAAAAACGTGTGTTCATAGTATACGATTTTTGTGGTTTTGTTTCACTGTTTGAAAATTATAAAAATATTTTTTTAGATGAAGTATTTATTGACTACGTATGGATAAACATCTTCAAAACTATATATTTGAGTGTTAAAAAATACTTTTAAAAAAATTGAACTTTTCATCGATTTTTAACAAAAAATGTGTGCTATATTAAACGATTTTTTGTGATTTTGTTTGACTGTTCAAAAATTAGTAAAACAATTTTTAGACGAACTATTTCTTGATTATGAATGGATAACCATCTTCAAAACTATGTTGTTTACTCCATATTTGAGTATTCAAAAATATTTGAACATTTGTGCAATTTTTAACAAAACATATAGGATTTTTTGTGATTTTGTTTGACTATTTAAAAATTAGTTAAAGAATGTTTAGATGAACTATTTCTTGACTACTTACCGATAAACATTTTCTATACTGTATGTTTTCGAGTTTAAAAATATTAAAAAATGATTGAAGATTTCAGCTTTAACCCGGTGATGCATTCAATATTATTAAAAAAATAAAAAATAAACACTTCACATACCGTATTCAATTTGTTGAATGTGCTGTCAATTTGCATAAAATAGGCCTGCAACATGAATACACGCTTTTTAATTATCCCATTTTTTTCTCCTTAAAAATCGAGATGAATATGATAAAACTTTAGTACCTCGAGTAGCATTTCAAGTTCCTCAACATCATTCTCATCTCCACGAATAGTAGCAATACTTTGCCTACTGGCCTTAGATATCCTAGAGCCCATGGTAGGTGATGCAAGGAACCAACTAGCGGCACCTGACGCACTGACAGGCGATGCACTTGCTAACTTTCTCGACAAGTAAAGATCCGCCATGTCATCATCGTCATCCAAAAGCTGTTCCAGCTCATCTCTCACCTGCAAAAAAAATATATAAATTAAAATATTCTTCCATATTATGCGAAGAAGAGTATTGATGAGATTCTTACCTTTAGTACACGAGCAATCAACCTTGTCATCTGACTCTTTAACTTCCGCACACGATCTAAATTACGGCTGCTAATCTACAAACAAAGATTTATAAAATATATCAATCTAATCTAATTTATAAAAAAAATATAAAAAATCAGTAGAATTAATCATGAACAAAGAAGATAATATGAACTATTTCTAAATTCTAATTGAAATATTGTATATTTCTAAAACACCAAAAAAATCACCTTTGATGTAAGCATATCTAAAGCTGGATAAACTGCAGTCTCCAATTCTATTGTGCGGGCAGAAAGGTAACTACAAATGGCTTCCAAAGCCACCTCTAGTGCTCGGAACTCAAATGGAGAATCTGCTAATTGCCGATGCATCTTATTATTAGAAAATAAAAATTAAAATAAAAATATATCCAGCCTGATTCCATTTACTGTCAGAAAATTTCATGTAAGAAAACGGAAAAATGTTGTTCGGAAATACCATCTTCTTCACCCGTTTCACCATCATGGTGCAGAGCAAACTCCCTCCCAACTTCATTATCTTCTTGATTTCCATTTATTGATCGAAGTCGCCTTCGAAGGTCCTCTACTACAGGAACAACATTATCATCCAACGGATCGCGAAGCAACACCTGACAAAGAAGGATTATTCAAAAAATTGAAGATTGTAACTTAGGTATCACCGAGAATTTAAAATCATTTGATTTACTTCCATTATTATCAAATCATAGTTTCCAACGGATACAAAAGGAAAATAAAGAATTGCAAAAACAGCATAAGCAAAAATTGAGAAGCACTTTCTATCATTTTCATAACAGGCTGTACCATACAAGAATGATATAGAAGCTTTTTATTTGTATAAGAAACTACTGGTCATATTTTCCATCTATCAAATATGTAGTTACGTAAAAAGCCGATAATTTTACTTTGACCGGGATGACAAAGTCCCGATGTGAATTATGTTAATATTCATTATGAGTCATAATCTAGTGCTCAAACCTATAAATCTAACATAAAAGTAAAATCTAGTCCTTAAACCTGCTATAAAAATAAGGCATAATCATTATGATTGTAATCTTGGTCAACTAATATGCTATAACGACCGCACACTAAGTCTAAATTATTCAATGATTCCAACACAGAATCACTTTTCAAGAACATGCATTCTCTTTTCTTGGACTTCATAGATAATATTTGGGAAATTTAGATTGAGAAGAAAAGGCAATGAATTCTACTCAACTCAGTGATCCAACTGATTTTAAATCACTGAAAATATAGATACAATAAAAAAATACAGATAACGTGCAAAAGAAGAATACATACAAATATAACTCACCTCTTCAGAAGTAATAATAGCCTTGATATGCTGCATGCACCATGAAAAAGGACAAAGTTAGTGTCGAATCAAAGACATCCAAAACAAAATTTCAGATTCAGCAATATTTTACATAAACACCACCGGATGTGGAATTGTGTATTGAACCAATAACTGTAAGCATGCTCGGAATCAAATTCTAAAATGATCTAAAAAACAACCAAACATTGATTGCATATTGAACTGAAAAAATCGAACCTCTTAGCCTTAAATTCAAAAAAATCAACAGCATACTTCAGATATTTCAAGAAATCTTACATTATCAAAGGGCATTTCAACCTTTTCATCCCAATTAAATGCATTAATTTATTTTATTTCTTATTTTCCTAAGGCAGATAAACTTGAAACCAGAAAAGTCAAATTAACCCAAACCTCAATTTCGCCTTTTGGCTTAAAAATACAAGTAAAGGAAATCAAATAAATAACAGAGGTTTTAATTCAGATTCCAACATAGTCATACTATTCTGTAACCCTAAATCAAAAAATCCAAAGTTGAGGGCAACCTAACAGAAAGAAGAGAAGGGCATCGAATTTATGATTCAAATGACACGTTCCTAAATCAAATATTGCACTAATTTCAAAACACAACAAACAAAAAGAAAAATGCATAAATGATTCGATAAAATAACAAAACCCTAAAAAAAATTGCAGGATTTTTTACCTCTAAATTGAGAACAATGGCTCTCTCACGGCCAAGGATGGTGGATGGGTACGACAATAGGGGGTCGAGAATGCGAAGATCACGCGCGTGTATCTGCACGCGGTGCATGATCGCGTATTTATCAACATCCAGTATAATCTCCTGACCCGAAGAATCCATTAAAATCCAACTCCGCGACCCGGCACCCTTTTTCTTCAACCCGGCGACGGCATTCGAAGGATCCGCCGGCACCACGTACCCATCTTCTCGGGTCGCCGTCGTCATCCTCAATTAATTCAGAAAAATGCGAGAATTCGTAGAATTCTTTCCACCTCTGATTAATTGGTGCGCATGTATCAGAGATGACAGATTCCAGGGTTTGATTGCGTATGCAATCTGTGTGTGCATACGGATACGGTGTGCTTTCCGGAGAAGAAGGGGGGTTGAAATCTTCTTTCCCATTATTTGAGAGTTCTAAGATTTTCGAACTCTGTTTATATACTCCACGAAAAAAAGGGGTAGAATCATTTTCTCGGGTTCGGGTCGATTAGTCCGGACTCCGGATAGAATGGTTAATGGGTCGATGTTTTCGATCCATAATGTTTAGTCAACGGTCAATCTCAGTTTGGATCCAGCCCACTACATACTGGACCACTCAGCCCAATATTTCACAAAAGCTAGGGTTTTTTTTTTTTTACGATTTATATATACCATTTCACTTAACAAATATTCATAGGTTATTCGGCTAAGTTTTTTTTAAACAGCTGATAAAGTTTTACGTTTGATAAATTATTTTAAAAACTGATAAATTGTTGTTTTTTTTTTATTTTTAAAGTTATTTTATTAAAGTGTTTGGATAATGATATACTTCATGATAATCTATCATGAAATATTTAAAGCTCTACCGATGACGCAAGTAAAATTTTATATTTGTGTAGCATAATGGCGGAGCCATGATTTAGCATAAGGGTATAATCGGTAAGTGAAAAAAATATGGTCAAATTATGAAAACTCCCTCCTGTTTGGGTAATTAAAGTCAGTCCCTTTTATTATGTATTATTTTACGAAAAAAATCCTTTCATAGGCAAATAAATTTATGGATGTTAAATCTAGGGCTGTGCGTTGGTTGGTTTGGTTAAAAACCAGCTATAAAACCAACCCAACCCATCCAACCAACTTTGATCAATATTGGAAACCGTTATCGACCCAATTTATATGGGTTGGGTGATGGTTGAAAACCAATTTAATGGGTTGGTTGGTGGTTTTGTTGATGGGTCATCCATCTAAATATTTTTTAATTTTTTTTAATATTTTATTACTTGTTACAACGCTATATCTGTTATAAATTAAATGCGACTAGTTCAACAATATTCAAATAAAAGATTCAAAACATTACGGTCATATATATTGCAATTAAATATAAATAGTTCAACAAATAATAATCGTCCAAATATTTAGACTATATGTCTTCAAATTAAAATAATTCAAATTAGATAATTAGGTTAGATTTATTGCTTTTAGGATTTTGGTCAATATTAGACAATTTAATAAATGTGATATATAACAGAAATTTGAAATTAAAAGTATTAAATATTTTAATTAAAATTAATAAATAATAAATTAATGAATAAAGTTGGTTGGCCGATATTAACCGACTAACCAACTTTTTAGCATTTTAGAAACCATTATCGACCCAACTATACATGGGTTGGTTGACATTATCGACCCAACTTAAATGGGTCGGTTGATGGTTGATTAACCATCACAAATTGTGGGTCGAAAATGGGTTGGTTGGTGGTTAAAACCGATCCATGCACAGCCCTAGTTAAATCAATAAAACTGAACCGAAATTTCAGTACGCCAACATTTCATATCGTTTACCGAACTGAATATACGATTTGGTTCGATAAATAGCTGAATTACATAAAGTTTATGCAAAAACATTTAAAATGAGGAGTTGATGTAATTACCCAAAGAAGAGTAGTTTTTTTCTTAATTTGACCGTACCTCACATATGGGCCGTAATTTGCCCTATATAATATGACACATAATAAGTAATAAAGATATAAATATTTAGTTAAAATATATACATTAAAAATAATAAATTTCTATATAAAATAATAAATTTTTGAAAATTAAATCCCATAGCCCTATGGAAACATGCATGTGCAATATCCAACCACCCTCATGCATTATACAAATTCCAGCCAATCAACAGTCGTCGTCCGAATTGACTAACACTTACCAGCATCATAATTGATAAATAAATAAATAATAAATTAATAATAATAGTAAACAGAATTTAAAATGATCCAATCATAATAAATAAAATTATTTTTTTGGGAATAGAAAGGAATAATCCCATGAACATGCACATGCATTTGTCCCCTTTTTCAGTACACTAATTGGGGGTACGACAATAATCATGAAAAAAATAGTTATTTAATTTTGCGGAAAATAATAAATTAAAATAATTAAACAACCAGATATGAAGGATCTGGTTCATGAGAACGATAAACACATAATTATATTTTAATTATATATTAATTTAAGATGAAAAATTAAATAAATAGAAACATATACAACTGTGACAGCCAAAGACAACAAGAAGAGAACAAACAGAGTTTTGGGATGATTATTATTAAATTTAAACAAAGCCAAATTAGACATACAATTAATAATAACACACACATGCGCCAGACAATAACAGATGAGTACATTTGCTTCTTGTCTAATTAATACAAATTTTGTCTTGACACCTTTCATATCTATATATATACTAACAAATGAGATACAGACACGTCGTCACGAAAAGAAAAAAAAAGGAGAAAAATAATAATTAAAAAATATGAAAATTAAACAAATTAAACTAGCAGAATATGATAGGAATAATAACTTGCTGCTCCATAAACCAAGTAATTTTATTACATGGTTTCATTTGATTAGCATCTACTCTTGCACTTTTCCATGGCTCTTGGTGCTGAATTTGATCCAAAAAAATAAATAAATAAATCAATAAATAAAAACATTTATCGTTCATCTACACAAACTAATAAATATATAGATGCGTGTGTTTTTATGTGTAAATAAATATATAATCAGTGAATTTTACCAGATATAACATAAAAAATGGATCATTATGATGGATACGCTAGTGAAGGTAATAACTTACCAAGTCCAATTGCTTCCGATCCTTTCATGATTCGAATGCGCTTGCATGAATCAACAAACATCCTGCGATGGTGTTTTTTTTTTCTTTCCGTTAATTTCTTAAATATGTCCAAACATCTCAAAATAATTCGGATTTAGTGAATACGTACTATCGATCCGAATTACGTACGCCCTTCTATATATATATATATATATATATATATTTTGCTAGCCTATTGAAATTAAATGTCAAATAATAACATTTTTTTTATATATAAATAATGCTATTTATCGATGATATTTTTTTTGTCTCTATATATATTAAAAAAATAATTAGTAACTATTAATGGCAAAAAAAAAGAAAAATAATGAATGAATGTAGACTTACTCCCATGGTACATCACCCACGAGCATCCAGTCACCATCTTTATCTTCATAAGTGGGAACATATTCAGAACTGTTCAATAGATCCATTAATTTCCCTTCATTCATGAAATCTATCATTCCTTCGCTCCCATAATTACCTATTTATATATATTAATCATTTTTAATTAATTTAATTAATAAATTAGCAAAATTAAAAAAAAACATATATATGAATAATATTTTATTATTATTTTAATTACCCATTGTGAAGGAACTGAACATTTTGGCTAATGCATCAGAGAGCTCTTGATAGGCTCCGTACATCTTCAGGTCTACTTTGCGTAGATACGGCGCCCCATCCATCGACACCTTCACGAAGGCGGCGCTGCACGCCGCCGCCGCCTTGTCGGAGTCCTGCTGATCGGCGGGGCTGCTGCTCTTCTGATGAGATATTATGTTCTTCCTGAACGACCGGACCGGCGGCCACCCCACCACTTGTGCCCTAGATTTCAATTTTCAACCATTCCACGACAACTAATTAGACACACACATACCCACACGTGTGTGTGCGTGAAATACGTATATAGATACATATCATACTTACTTGGCAGGTGGTTTGATTGGATCCTTTGGAGGAAGCATGGCGTTGATCTCTGTGGAAGAGATATTGATCAGATCGGAGGAAGAAGGTGGTTCGTTGGATTGAAGGTTGAGTTTCAGATCAACGGTCTCGGAGAAGCCTCTTTTCCCTGTTGTTTTTATCGGATCAGTACTCTCTCCTCCGCCGCCGCCGGGAAGGCCGAGGCAGAGTTCGGTCTCCATGAAATTGAGGCCGTGCAAGCCCGCCATTTTCCGGCCAACAACTTCCATCTGCCGACGAATTTATGGATTTATGGATTTTTCTCTGTTGAATTTATGGATTTTTCTTCGTTGGAAAGAGAGAAGAAGTAGTGCGTGTTTCTGTGGGTGTGTTTGTGCGTGTTTTAATTGCTTGTGTGTAATACTATCATAAGAGAAAGCAATATATGTCTGTGTGTGACTTTCATGTGTTTATATACCGATGATTGCATTAGGCTGATTGAGTTCCAACGCATCGTTTGCCGACACGTGGAAAACTTATAATATATGTATAATATATATATATATATATATATTATACTTATATAGGTATCTATATATATGATCAAGAGCTATATGCTCTAAACTTCATCTCTTTGTGGTAAAAGAAAAAAGGGTCGTAATTTAATTATCTTTTATTTTGATAGTGATGTCTAATTTGGTCTTTATTATACATTATAATTCTCCACATCACACACATAAATTATTTTTTCAATATAAATTTACGGGTAAATAATGATCAATCCTCAGATAAGGTCAAATTATTAAAAAATTATCATGTCTGGGTAATTACAATTACTCAATCGACTATAAATCTTTTTACACGTGCATTTTTATGGTGTCAAATTCAACATGATTTTTTAGATTCCGTGGAACGTTCTCTAGTTTGTACTTGTCTTGTGCAAAATGCAGTTTTTGATGCACCACAATCTGATATTTACAAGCCAAGAGACACATTCTTATGATTATCTTGTTTCAAAATGTGGAGCTCGGATAAGGTCAAATGAGTACAAATTGGAGAATATTCTACATAATCTAGAAGATTACACTAAATATGACACCGCAAGGATGTATGTGTAAGACGATTCATAGTTGATGAGTGGTCGTAGTTATCCAAACATGAAGGGTTTCTTTGTAATTAGAAGGGTGGCCCATAGTATAATTTATAAGATTTTACTAAATTTGACACAACAAGAATATAAATATAAGAAAACACATAATTAAGATAGTGATTGTAATTATCCAAACATGAATAGTTTTTTTGTAATTGGTCATGGCTCAAGGATGACCCTAATTTACCATAGGGTAAATTTTTTTTTTTTTTTTTTGAGAAAAACCATAGGGTAAATTATATATACATATGTGTGTACGAATATCGTACGTACCAATTTTTTGTTATGATCCAATTATTTTAATTTTAATATTTTGTGTGAACTTTATGAAATGAAAAAAATAAATAAAAGGAAGGTAGAGCATGTAATGTCAAAATATTGGCCTGCATGTCACATGAACATCAATCATTCCCATGGCCATGACTTTGAGGCAGGTCACATCTTCACGAGAAGGAAACATCTCTAACTCACTTGTTATTAAACTAACACAATTCACCTAATTACGAGAAAGTCCTCCATATTTGTATAATTACGAGCACCTCCTAAGAAATTCTTCGTCTAACAAATAAAAATGGAATCCAATAAATTCCATGAAATATCCATTTTGTAATGACCGTAAAACCCCTAGGGATCTAATTGTAAGGTTTAGGAAAAAATTATAATTTTTTCATTCTATATATATATATATATTTTTTTTTTGTTTACTGTTAACTGGGTTCTTTTTTTATCGAAAGGGGTTATGTGCAAGGTTTTACATTGCATAAGGAGACAAGTGTAAGAAAATCAGAAAATTAAATTTATAACCATTTTCTTTTGTTTCATTTACTTATTTGTACACATGGATATTTTAGACATTTACTACATTCTGTCAAGAATTGTGCAACCCGTTAATTTCAGGAGGTGCTCCTAAGTCCTAAGTCGTAACTAGACAGACAAGGAGGGTATTTCAGTATTAGGTCTTACCCGAGGGGGTTCCTTGTAATTTGTCCTTAAAAAAACAAATTCATTATTAATCTCTCACAATGTTATTAAAAATCAAACTTTTTACGGAAAATTACGAATCATGCCAAATTAATGGTCCCTATATATATATTTTGATGATACAATAATCACAAAATAAAATTAATTCTCCAAAAAGTTGATATCTCAGTTTTCATCTTTTGAAACTCGGTGAAGTCGAAATCAAATAATAAAAACAAGCTAGATACTATTTTTTGACTTTAATTTGCCAAAAAAAAACGATATTTCAGTGACATTTATTTATTTAGTTTATATATATATATCTAGAAAAGAAAAAGTGACTCCCACTTGAATTTTACTTTTGGGGAGTTTTGAATATTTTACGATAACCTAAGTTGAGGAGTTGGATATGTCACGAGTGGTCCAAACACACCCTACAAAGATTCATGCATGTAGTGAAGAACTAGTTGGACCACTTTGATCTTTATGTTGATGTGTTTTTTATTTCTTTTTTTGTTTTTTTTTTATAAATAAAATATTGAATTAATAATTAAAATTATGTTGATGTGTTAGGTAATAGAAACCCATAGACATTTATATAGCTTAGTGTGAACAAAGATCCTAATTGAAATTAAAAAAAAAATGAATTGTGAGATTGGAAAATTTATATTAGAAAAATCCATGATTAAAGATTAATTAGTCAATAATGTAAATTATAAAAGAAAATCATGTACAAGAAAATTAGAATCTTTTATGTCGATACTAGTACATTATGAATAATATTAGTTGTCATTGACTTTCAATTTTGTAGGTATTCTAATTTTTATTTTTTGAAATATTGTAAACACTATTTAGTGGTCAACTGTTTAGGAGAAAACCTTTATTACATCAACCACTAAGATAATAATAATACAAAGGGAGGGTAATGTTGTTTGACCCGAGTAAAATTTATTTATTTATCAATTTTTTTTAGGCCGAGCTTGTCACTCATGATTAATTTAGTGAGAATTATATTTTTTAGTGCGATTTACGAGTTATTGTATGATTGTAGAGTTTACACAATACACTTCCAATAGTGGCCGTAAATTCTCTAATGAATTAAAAATATTAATAATCCAGCAAGGGATGGTTTAACGGTTGGAGCAAGTGAACATTTGTTAATCGATTCAGGTTCGAATCCCCTAGTTAATAGTCGTTAGGTGGAGTTTGTCAAATATGATTGACATAGTGTGGTTTACGTCTTTCATATGATTTACAAATTATTATGCGAGAATGTAAGTTCACTCAGTGAGCCCATATGATTGACCGCATATTTTGTTCGTTACTCAAGAAAATATTGACTACCTAATAAGAATCAAATGTAATGTAAAAATTAATCTTAGTGGGACCATAAATTGCAAGATATGAGAATCTTGGGCACAATAATAATTATTCCAAATGTTGGTCGAAAATGGGACAATGGGATCCCAATGGTGGGCCCCCATAATTCCACTCATTGTTTGTTAATATATTCTTAATATTACTTATAATAACCCATGAAAATAAATTGGGCTCACCACCTTCTTTATTTTCCCATCTAACACACGCTTTTGTGGCACCAATTTCATTAATTGATTCCATTTTAATACCCTTTTATCTCTATCAATTGAAGTCAACTACCTTTTCTATTTTTGTTTTATTCTTCTTATATAATTTACTAATTAATTAGTAAACACCAATTTAGTATAATTTCCTTTTTGTTAACTTCTAATTGTACGCCAGAAAAAAATCGTACGCAGTTAAAGAAATTCGTACATCCAAGAATACTTCAATGCACCGTAGGAAATCTTTTTTTTTTTTTTCCCCTTCGCGACGGTATGACAATATTATAGGCCAAAAGTCGGTCCAGTTAGTGTACAAAACTTTGGGCCGCCTTTTTTT